GTAGATGAGGTGCTTAGGGACATGGTTTAGTGGGCATGGTGGTGTTGGGTTGACGGTTGGACTCGATGATCTTAGAGGTCTTTTCCAACCTTAATGATTCTATGACTCTATGATTCTATGACTATATCTTTTTAAAATCGTGTTCTGACAAAACTAAAGCTTTGAATAACCCAGTTAACATCTTGGCCATGTTTCAAAACAGAACTAAGTGTGTGTCATTTAGGGGTCTGGCTTAGAGAGGTAGTGTGGTTCTGAGAGGTAATGTTGGGTTGTCTGCAGTGACTACACATTTAGTTCAGACCAGAGAGCAGTTGTGGTGTGTATTAACCAGACTATTTTAGAATGAAGCCCTGCTCTGTGTTTGTACTTATGCCAACCCCAAAGGAGGACTTGCAAACCCTAGCCACTGAGTGGCCTTGCACTGTGAAGTCTTCCAACTGGTACCAAGCATGCAAGCACCAGCAGGCTGCCCTTAAGCCATTTAGAGATCAGGCTAAATCCTGAAGCATTAAGAGACAAACGGTGTCCTTCACATTTGCCAGGAACTGTCAGCCATCAGTGGCTCCACTTTCTTATTTATCCATCTTTTTGCCTGCCTTGATATCGTGTCACCATTTTACCTGTCACACCTGCTGTTGCCTTCCCTCCAATGCTGAGCCTCTGTCATTTCTGTTGTCCCATATTTCTGACTGCCACTCAGTCTAACAGTGATGCCAACCCCACCCCTTCAGCCTCCCAGAACATCCTGGATGGTGCTTGATAGGGCCTAAGCAAACAACACTGCTCATCAGAACATGTTTTAAGAGAGCCAAAAAGTTTTCTAGCAGCAGAATAAGTCAATGGCATTATGACAATTTTGCTAATTTCATGACTGTTGCCCGACAACAGAGACAGACCAGTATTGCTCCAAAGGACGTAAAGACTGTCTTCTTTAAGAGCTGGGACAACAACCAGACCTCAAGGGTGGCATGGCAGACTTGAATCCGCTATGGACACCATGAACAGATCTTGGGGTGCAAGCCCACCACCAAGCCTGCTGCCCAGTTAGAGACCCATGCCTGGAGCTCCATTCTTGTTTGCTGCCTTGTATCTCTTCTAACAGTGCTGATCCTGTGGAAGTCATATCATAATGCCACACAAGATAGGGAAGCAGGCAAATTTTACATCAGGAGGAATTCAAAGTAGTAGCCCACAATATTCTACACAATCCCTACTGCACAAAATCTGGACCATTCCTTTATCTGGGCATACAGGGGCACGGTATGGAACAAATTCGTTGTAATGTGGATGGGATGCTCCTGCTGCAATGGCCTCCTCCATTATCCCTGCAGTCAACCAAAGCAGCAGGGGATTTGCCCTCTGCTCCACCTTGGCACGGTGGGTCTGCCAAGGTCTGCAGGACAGCTGAGTGTTAGCCCTCACAGTCTCTGTAATCATGGCTGCCCTAGACCACCACACAGTAATGTAGGTCCCATCAAGGGCCCACTAAGTTCAGGGGCTGCCAGAGAACAAAGTGTAAAGGATCTTGTTGACATCTGTGTACGCTCTCCTCGGGTAGAGGTGTGGCAGGATGGCCTCAGAAACATTAATCATGACTTTACAAATGGCAGACTGTCCCAGCACAAAGTGGTTAGCAGCTGTCTGGTAGGGGTCAGGATTGTGCACCCACTTATGGTACAGGCTCCCAAAACTTCACCCTGTGAAGTTCCCAGCAGAGGCTTTGATTGTGCTCTCATGACAGTAAAGTTTCATGCATGGTGTTGGTGCCTGTATATCCCCAGGGTGACATGCTTCCATATCTCTGGGCCCATCTACCAGGCAGCAAATCTGCAGTGAACCAGGAACAAAGCTGTTACACTGACAAAAGCTCTTGGGAAGTTTTGTACTCCATCTTCTTCCTCAAACAAAAGGTCCAGGAAAGTAGGCTCAGTTAATGCAGGGTGTCCTCCCAGGGTAACTGATTCAGCGGCAGGATGCCATTCCCCCTCAGGACAGGCAGGATGCCTGTGGTTGGCCAGTGACCAAACTTGGGGCTAAGAAGAGATTTGGGCAGCAGTCTCTGTGGCATCACTACTAGCTGAGCAAGAACAAAAATACGGCTTTTTATCTGGCTTCTGCTTAAAGACAATCAAAGCCCTGGAACTAAGTCATTTACTTTAAGTAAGCATAGCTTACTCCTGTTGTTTCAATTGTTTTAGAAAATGTGAAAACAAAAAGCATCAATGTGCATCAGTAACTGCTATATCATTTATGATATACAGGGGTGGTCTGAGCAATAACAGTTTCAGACTTTTACTTCAATCCAAGTACCAGGGAGAGACTTCAGTGCTGTGAAAGGAAAGCACTGCAATAATTATAACGTTATCTAATCTTTTCTCCATAGGAGTGCTTTCTAAATACAACCTGAGAAACACACATGACTGAAGAGAGAACAACAGTTCTAATTGTTACACCTAGTCAGGGGTTTTGATGTATTGTAGGGAAATGAGAACAGTCCTGAAGGAACATACCACTTATGATAATATTGCTAACTGTACCTCTAGGCAGAGCGCCAGACACAGGAAATGACAAGATAATGTTATTTATGGAGTTATGTAAATTTAGCACTTCCTAATTTAAATTACTCTAGAGAAGGGGTCATAATGCCTTATTGGGGGGGAGGGGGGGGGGGGGGGGGGAAACACATCACTGATTTCTGTGTTAAATAAGTCCATTTGAAATTATTCCTGTGTGCTTTAAAATTTTTGCTATCAAGTCAAGAGCATCCATCAACTTAGAGCAGTTGCCCAAACTAAGCTAAGGAAATATTTTGGGTAGCCATTGACCTTGAAGTATTATATACAAAACACTTAGCACAAAGACTTTGCTGATCTTACATTAAATTATCCAGTACATTTAAAGGAGCTTTGTACCATTCTGAGAAATTTAACTTCAGCAAAAGCACACTTGACTAGCTATGAAGGTCTCCACAGTACAGGAGGACATTTAATTTGAACTGCTGTAGTAAATCCATGTCCTATACTGACAGTGAAGGGGGGGAGTGACTGAGAGGCTCTGCTTATCCCAGGCTTTCATTTGATCACCTAGGGAGTAATCCTGGTGCCTTGAAATAGGTGTCTAGTGTTGCTTACGATGCCTCGCGGTATTCAAAACATTCAGGTAAGGCTGGCAGACATGATGCAGAGCTTACAGGAGCCCTGCACTTCCAGAGTGGCAGTAGAAAGTCAGACAAGGTACTCTGGGCCTTTAAAATGACTCTAGGTACCTGAATCCCTATGCTGGAGTCACTAGCAATAATATAAGTTAAACCAGTCACTTACAGAACTGGCATAGCATTAGGAGAAGAGGGCAGCAGGGTCCATCCTGCTTTGCGCTAGGCAACACTGAGCCACCATGAAGGATCTTACCTATTATTTTAGATGTGGTTCTGCCTGTGATTCCCAAAGACTGAGGCCACATGCTGCTAATATACAAACACTGAACAAAATAATAGCCCCTGCCTTGCAAAGCCGGCAGTAAAGGAACTGAAATTTGACCATATTTAGCCTCTAATTAAATGTTCAACTTCAAGAAGATGAAGGTATAATCTGACTAACAGAGCAAAAGATGCAACTGTGGGTTCTGTCTATCCAATGGAGAGTCCCTTCAGTGCCAGCAGCGAAACCATCTCACAACCAAGTGAGCCCGGCTGCACTGGCCCTTGGGGAGGACATGTTCCTATGGGATAAACAAGAACTGTAACATAAATCACCAAAATTGCTGCTAAATCAGGCTGCTGTGGGATCACTCAGCCGTAATATCCCCCAGATGCTTCTCTTCATGTTGCCAAGGGCCTCTTCATGCATACAAAACAAAGCTAGAGAAATGAGTTCTTAAACTACCTTTCTCTCCAATGTATTGGAGAAGGATTAGAAATGGTGCAAGATTTTCACAGCAATTAGCTGAGATTTTTTCCACCCGCACTATCACCATGGCATACACAAACTTGCGTCAAGACAAGCACATTTTTGTGTCTGCTTCTATCCCTGCACATGGAAACTGAAGAAAAGATTGGTATGCCACCTGCAGCAGATGGATGCAATGTATGTCAAAGCTCATTAGAAGCCCAAATAGGTTTGCATAAGCCCGTGTACATATAGTTATGTCCAGACAGCAATTGCTTCTGCAATAAATTGATAGCATTGCTTTGATGGAATAGCTTGATCTCAAGTCCATCATCTCAGGATAACAGTGTTTTCTCTAAGAGGTTAGGAGGTTGGTTAGTTGGAGACTGTTACTGAAACAACTTTAACAATGCTTGTACTTTTTTCCTGTTCTATATAATAGAAAAAGTGTGGCAAGAAAATGGAATAGAAGTTTAAAATAATGCCATTTTTGTAGTAATAAAATTGATTCTTATTTTTCAGTGAAATTGGCTAATTTACTTGAAGTCAATTCTCATCTTTTCCTTTAATGTCTAATGTTTGTTTGATCTATTAAAAAACTGAGGATTGATTTCCATGCTGATTTTGTTTGCTTGTTGGAAATATCAGTTATTTAAATGTCAACAGTAGAAGAATTAATAACAGAAATACCACAATTGGTGCTGGTGGTGATTGCCGGTGGGGGGCTGGGCAAAAGCACAAAATAAAATTTATTAAGTTATCTTCTTGTACCACTTTTAAGTGTGTGCCTGGGGTCGTACTTTTGTAAATCAGTTCCCGATGGAGGCCAGGAGTACTCCATTTACCAGGATAAAGCTTCCTTAGTCTGCGGTAGTCTAACATTAATTGAATCATCACTGCCCTAGGATTCATTTGCTTGTGGATTCAGTGATATGCCTTGACTTTTTATGTAGGTGTTTAACACTGTCATTAATTTACCATTATTCAGTTTAACTTCTACATTGCACACTATAGCCTTCAGCAAGAAGTTACCACCTACAAATAATATGGGTCACCAGGAACATGCTCTTTTAGGAAATGGGGAACACCTCCCAGCAGTGACATACGTTCCCAAGGGATCAAATGAATGTTGAAGCCTTCAGAAAAAAAACACTAGAATATTCACAACTTACAGCTTTGTTTGGATAAGTAATAAAATAAAAGCAGGTGATAGAAAACCATTTCAAGGAGCTGAAATTTTAAGTAAACCAGTTAACAATGTGAAATTTGTGGTGAGCTCACAAAAGCAGGTAACATTTACGTTTTAGGAAAGAGTAACTTCCATCAGCTGAGAGATATTAGAACTAAGACTTCCCTTTTGCGTGTTACCAAGACAATATAATCTGGCATAACTGAGTGGAATGAGTCAAGGTTTGTTAAGCATGCTTGTCCACGTTTCATGTTTCCTGCATGTCCTTCAACCACTTATTGAATATATTCTTTCTTTCATCTCCAACTCTTCCCTGTTTCAATTTTCATTTCATGGAGTAATGGAGAGGTCTGTTAAAGCCCCTCCTATTGTTCAGTTTGGTCTTCAACCTGGTGCTCAGTTCAGCACAAGGTACAGAACATGCATGATCCCAGGGCAAGCTCCATGTTACCATGGCTGGCATTTCTTCCGGTCCTAAGCTATCACTCCTAAAACCAAAATCACAAAACAGGCCTCCAAAGAGCAAGACTGGCGAATTTTCTATTTGTCTCCTACTTTGGGACAACTGTTATTATTGTTTATTAGCTTTTATTTATGCCTAAAAGTCAGAAATTTACTGTTAAATTGAATGTCAAAGTTTTCAAGCAGTTACAGAATCTGAAGAGCTGCATCTTCAGAAGAAATGGTGGGGCACACAAGAGCTGGCAACATTGTACTGGTGCTATATCGAGCGAAGGTAGAGCCAAGGAAGCGGTGGGTCAGAGAGGATGAAAGACTGAGTCTTTGCTCTATTCCTCTGCTCCCAAACCAACTCTCCCATTAGGAAAGCATCCTCACTGCAGATGGACAGCTTCGGGAATTCATGTTGTGAATAAGGTAGCATCACCACCTGAAACATTATGAGACTAATAATATTTCTATCCTCCACTGGGTCTGAATCCCAGGGCTTGTTCTATTTTTGGGGAGCTGTGGAGCACAACCAAAGTGGGGTTTATCCAAATGAACTTGGCCTCGACAGCAGCATTCAGCTCAGGGCAACAGCAGTGCACAGCAAACACATTCACTTGGAGAAGTCTCTTACTGTTCTCTGCAAGCCCGAGCAGCAGTGTTCCAGGTGACCTTGTGATTCACTACCAGGAAGTAGCAGCTGCCCTCGTGATGACTCCATCCGGAGGGACATTTCTTTGTGCTTACCTCCTAAAATAAAAGAGGAAAAGGCAAAACAGACTCCTGCTTATAGTGATCTAGGTCTGTGCGCTAATAATCAGACTGAAGGCTGGAAGTGCTACTTATGACCTTCCCAGAATTAAACTGAACATGAACTTTGGTGTGTATCAATGAAGTTACAGCATTGCTTAAAAGATGTAAAGAAATAAATGCCTGCCAGAGGAGCCTACAATTTATAATGAGTAGCTTTAAAGGTGACACGAGGTTTCAGTTCCAAAGACCTTCTTAAGAGAACACATTGGTTTGCACACCATTTTCTGACTCTTGCAGTCTGTGTAGGGAATGCAGTGCAACAAAATTCACCATGACATGTTATGTGGCAGAGGGGATGTATGTTTACAGAATACCTAAGTGAGCTAATTTTACTAACTCCCACTCATTCTCTCACAGACTTCATTCACTGACTGTCTCATGCCCACAACCCCGCAAGCACCAAGACATCAGTGCTCACGTAGTTTGTCCAGGAGCACCTGTGGGTGACAGAGAGGAAAGGCAATCCCAGCAATCAAGCCCTCATCATGTCTCTGGGAATCTTTTTGTCTGGTGACAGCAAACTTGACCCTGGACAACTCTTTTATTCCCTGTACAAGTCAGTAGTTGTTACAGGAAGGTCCTTTTCTTGACAGTCTCACTCATCGTAGACTCCATGCTCTGATTTAGATGCATATTCACAGTGACATTTTTACCTTGCTTTGGGAATTCCAGAATTTCCATATTATCCCATCACACTGAAATAACTTTTGAGTGCTTTCTTCATAATGCAAGAGCCCCTTTAAATCTGGTGTACAGGCCTTTGGAAAAGAGTAAAAGTCCTGGAAAGAGAAATGTCATTTGAACATTTGAAGGAAAATGATTACACAAAAGAAACAAGCTACATGAAACAGATTAAACAGGTCATATTAAAATTTTATGACATGAAAACTCTTCAAGGGCTGAGCTGTTAATTTATCAGTGTATTGGTTAAACTCAGCTTTGGAGTGGGAAGGGTTAGGCTGCAGATCTTAGAGGTGTTAAATCATTTTGGGAAACAGCATGACTGAAAACAGATGGTGAAAATGCCTGTGAAACAAAAGGTTTCATACCTGATGTCTTGAGCTTGGTTCAGATGCCAGTTCTGCCTTATCAGCTTGTGGGATTTCTGTCTTCCTAGAGGAGACGACATTTGTCTGTGATTGTGCTTGGTTAATTACTGACACTTGAGCCTTCTTGTTTGCTTTAGCTGATGAGGTGTCATCCTGTATTTTGAGTGATACCATCCCGTGATACTTCATTTTACAGTATCACACACACACAAGCAGAACAGGAGAGGGAAAGAGAGGGTTAGCACATGCAAGCAACTCTTAAATAAACTCTAGGAAAAAAAAAAAAAGGGCTTTATAATACAAATTTTTGCAAATCAAGGGGAAGTGACACCAAAGAAAAAGAAAGATACATAGAAAAATAAGTATTGGTCATAATGAATTATTAACAGTGATAAAGCCTGCAAAGAACAGAATCAGAAAGAAATCATAGAAATGTCTGAGCAATACTCATAATACTCTTACTTTGAAAACCACATCGGTTCCATTTCTAAATACAGATGAAGGATGAACCTGGAAAAGGTAGAACAGCAGAATGAGATGCGTATATTCATGCATTATAGAAACAAAAAGACTTTATGCAAGATTTACTACAAGATCTATGTTACAAATCATGCAGAACATATCTTGGGTTTAGTTCTTTTCTCTTTCAGAATGGAAACTGATCACCTCTGAAAACAGCCATTAAAAATCACACATTACAAGTGTGTTTATAAACAGATCCCATTAACTTGTGAGATCACAATAGCAGAACATTACTAAACCACCTAGTTAGACTGATGTACCTTAAGCAGGAAAAGCAATGGGCAAGTTTTAAGTAACTGTTCCCTGTTTAAGGTAACAGTATTTTCAGCTTTACAACTTCAGGAGCAGATGCACAGCTTCTATATATTGGCCAGGCTCCAGTGACTTCTTTCTTCTAGCTGACCCATAATTTAAACAAAAGATTAGAAGCTGCATAATTGCTGAAGTTGCTTGATGCATGTTTCCTCCCCCAGCTCTGTTTTTCTTCCTTTCTTGCATACACGGATCTTCAAAATCAGGAATTTATTTTTCTTTCCCCCAAGTATTTTTAAATAGCTCTCAGGTCTGACTCAAAGCAAACTCAGGTGGTTTATGGTTATTGTATGGTCAGGTAGGATCACTACAAGAATATGACAACTGAATGAAGATATCAAATCCCAATGAATTCACAAATCAGCCCATCACTGCGCTACAGAAGTGTCTTACTATTCTGCCATTTCCAGTGACTCTCAGGCTGGTCCTTGACTGATTCGCCAAGTTGTGTTCCTCTCCATGCGGGTCCTCTCCATGTTCTCTCATCCCTTTGGAAGGAGACGGTGGGATCCCTTCCAAGGGAGCATTGCCAGGCCTGGGAGGTGATGAGGAGCCCGAGGAAACTGGAAACAGCGTGCCTCTCCCCAGGAAGTCATGCTTGCTTTGGCCAGAAGAATGGGAATAGCTGCACTGACCTGAAAGCACAAAAAATGGCAGATGGTCAGTTCTAACTGCATGAGCAGATAACTGGTCACGTTGACATGGGCACATAAACAGCTTGTCACTAAAAGTTGGATGATTCTTTCACTTGATGTTGTTGATTTGCTGTTTGTTCAGCCATCCTCATTTGTGGGGTTTGCTATGACTATGACTGCAACTACTACCTGTATATGTATGTTTTTATACGTAATGAATCTGTCTACCCACAGATCAGAATTTCAACCAAGCATCTGCTGAAAGTACCTGTTTTCATGCATAGATTGGGGTTTGGAGTGCTGTTTTTTTGGTCATGGATTGGCAGGTGTCTTTAACTAATGTTGATGATACTTCCATCATGCCCAGACAATTTTCTCTTCAGAAATCCAGGACACTATTGTTCCTACAAATTAGTTGTGTCAGTTAACTCCTGACTTACATTATGAATGTTAAAGAGAAAACAGATCTGAAATTTTAAAAGGAATTTTGTAAAATGAAGCCTAACTCATTGCAACACAGGTATTTAAAATATTGTTTCACTAAGCACCAGAAGAAAAAACACTCTTCAGCTTCCAGAGGACTCAGCTGCTTTGCTAGTTATTTGTATTTTTCTACATTTTAGGCACACCACATTTGATCACTGAAAAACACAATAATAATGCAGACATAAAAGCCTAAACCCTGTAATGATCACTGCTGTGTGCTGTAATGTTGTGGACTGTGTTTGTTAAGCATTAGAAAATGTATTTCTAAGAGCTGGGTTTAGTAGTTAGGTTTATTTTTTGAGATGAAAATAAATCTTTTTCAGAGATGTATAACAACTGTTATACAGTAACTGGGAAAAAAAATCTAATGGACCTAAACCCCATTTTTTTCCCACTTTAATAAATGAGAACTGAACTCATGTTGTTATGAAACAACATAAAAAAAAATCTTTCCTTGCACCCTTCTCATTTTGTACATGTTGCTTTCTCCATGCTGTGTTTCCTAAGAGGATGAATATGGTTGTGTGAGAGAATAAAGGGTCTGCAACTGTCAAGCCTGTTTAAAAAGAAATTAAGCATTTTGATCTGAAGGTGAGTGTTAGGAACAACTTGTGGTTGAAAATAAGTAGCTACTCAGCCAAGATTGTCCCACCTTCTTAACGATGAAGATCAAAAGAGAATACCTCCTTTTGAGTCCAAAATTTTCACTACAGCTTTTGTCCGGGTGCCAAGAACAGCATTCACAGGGGAGTTCAGAACTACTTCAAAGACTTCATCATCTTCCTCTAATCCATCATAGGTAATTGCTATATTCCACATCTTGGTTGACATTCCTAACAGAAATAAACATTTTAATTACTCTTTAAGTGCTATTTCAGTCAATCAGAGTGTCAAAGAAATATATTAATTAACATGTCTGCAGCTAGAATGGAGTAGCTGGTGTACGCTATTGTGCTCCTACCAACTGACTGGACTCCTGCTGTTCTCCTGAATAACATTAAGTTCGAATTTTTTCCTGGGCAATGATGATTCAGTTCAAGTGCATATACTGTAAGAAAAAGCTGCTGTAGATGTGGGAAATGACACTACAATACATAGATTCAGGTCTTCCATTGCAACTTTCAAGAGAAAATGTACCAGATGCTTTTTATCTTGAAAGTTTAATTTTAGAGATGGAACAGTTATTTAAAATACCTGCAAATGGATCAAAGACTATGTTAGATTCAAGTACAACCTTTTAGGCAGATTTTATACTTGGTTACAAAATTTTTACTTGGTTGCTTGCCTTTACTGGGTAACTTCAGGCTTGCATTATGGGAATGAGAAAAAATCATTCCAAGATAAAAGACTAAGTTGGTTATTACCCAAAAGGCTACAAAATTTGTTGAGGAAAAGTCAGAGGCAGCAGGACAGAAACAGATCTCAATGTGCATGTTGCTGTCAACAAAACATCTTGGGAACTGTTTCTGCATCACAAAGTCAGTGCTAACATCCAAAATAATGAATATCAAAGATACATGTGCAACATTGTCAAAAAAAATATCTCCATCCTTATGACACTTCGCATAACCTCTATTTCCTTCCTCCTTTCCAGTATGAATCCTCTAGCCAAGAGAAGATGCCAGTACAAACAGACCCATAAACTTGGATAGGGTCTTCTTCTGCTCCTTTGCATTGCAATTTATTGATTGCAGTCTAATGTGCCAATCAGTCCAGTCAATTAGCATAGTTGAGGTTTGTTTTTAAAATAAACCTATCAATCAGCCTTAAAAAATAATTAATAAATACTACTAATTAATACATATCAAACATCTTGAATTTAGAACTAAGAAACTGATGCCTTGAGTGTAAGAGTTTGGAGGGTCCTTCCCTAAGGTTAAGCCTAAGCAAAGGACTTTTGAAGAGTGCCGCCCAAAAAAGACTGTGTGAGGGAGCTCTGCTGGCTTCACTGAGAAGCTGGCCAGAAAAGGGGAACAGTGTGCATATCTCCTGTCCATGTTCACAGCTAATTTTCATGTGGCTTACCACCACATTCAGAAAGACAACAGCAGTAACTCCAAACTGTCCCATGCTTGGAGAATCTGCATGGACCAGCAAAAAAGGAAAATTCTAGTAAAGGGCCTTGCACTAAAAATCTCTTTGCAACAATCTCTAGCCATTTCAGTCCAGAGGCTGTTAAGCTTGACTGCATAGTAGATTAGAGGAAAGAGAGCTGGAATCGTGGGCAGCACAGTATGAAGGACTTTTTACACTGACCTCTCGAATCTTTCTTCCATCTTCTAATTTAAAACTAAAAAAAAAAAAAAAAAAAAAATCTAATGCTAGATGAAGGGTCTCAGAGGGTGGCTCATTGGTTTCAGAGGTTTCATGTGTGTTCCAGAAACACTGGAAATCAGGGCAGATTTCCACCTCTCCACCCAGGTTTGGTTTTTTTTTTTACTGCTGTCTGCTGGGTGTCCTTCTTTATCCACCTCTGAAAACTAACCAGCAGTTGCTCATTCTACACCTTTACATAAAATTTGCCTTTCTCAAGATGGGCTGTAGTGGCACATTTCCAGAATAATCAGATTTGTGACTCTAACTGAACTTAAAGCTACAAGTTTTCCTATGGGATAGCCAAGCAAAGCTGGGGTATATATGAGTTCATCCATGGGATGCAGTGCTATATAATCTCTGTAGCATGCAATGCCTTTTTTTCAAAATAAAAAGTTTAAGTCCTAAAGTAAAAATCCCCAGGCTTTGGCAGGAACTGACTTACTATATTCCCCATATCTGTTTTTCAAATGCAGGTAAGCACTTAGACTAATTTTTACCATCAAATACATGCCATTTATTTCAGCCTTTCACAGATGATATATTTTGCCTCCTCTGTAGTCACTGTGACTTTCTGCCATTGAAATCTTACTACTGGCAGTCTTGGGATAACCTCTGCTGGCATTGCAGGCAACATCCTGGGAGGCCTGTGTGGACCCCATTTTCTAAACTCAAATAAATCCTGGACTATGCCAACAGGATGTGTTCCAAAAAAACTCAGACTTGCATATGCAAAGGAAGTGATTACAATAGCAAATGGTTTTCATTCCCAGATAATCCATTTATATGGGCTGAATTTCTGAATGGTAAATTGTGAAACTCTCACCTAGACTGTTTTTTCCTTAGACCAAGGGAGACACCCAAAGCATAATAATAATAAATTGTGCAGAACAGAGGAAGCTTTTTTCAGTATCTTCACATTTGTATTCATTTTTACTATTGATTCTCACCCAGCAAAAAAAATTCAAGCTCCTTTTGATAATACAGTTGCTATCATTTCTTGCTATTTACAGCCTCAGCCAAGGTCAGACTGCTGTTACGATTACAGTGCAAGCAGAGATGAGGTCTGACAATTTCAGGCTCTTTTGCACCTTTCTGGTCTTGGATACCTTGCATAACTTAAGTTGTACTCAGTTTTGTCTAAATTTGACCCGCGTCCTGGTCAAATCTTTAAATCTTTAAAGCATCTCACAGCTCGGCTCAGGGTGAGTCCTCCTCAGCCTAGCTGTGAGGAGATTAGGAGACATAATTTCAGCACTTTTGGTATTTTAACTGACATAAAGGGACCATACACCATCTCACCCTAAGTAATAATGATACTAATTCACAAAGGAAGCCCACTGCACTTCCAGAAAATGAGCCCAAGTGTCTTTAATCCTCTTCAGCTCCTCTAGCTACAGATATGTAATAGGCTTCATTTTCCAAAATGAGAGTTTACACTTTCAAAATCAGTGAATTAATTTTAAAATTATTCAGTGCACTGGTTCATACCTGGATCAAACTGAACAAGCTTGGAGGGAGTCACTGTAAAGTCCTTTCCCAGCATAGCAGATATTTCGTTGACCTGAGAAGAAATCAAACAGTAAATGCCATGCTGTGACATATTTCACCGAACTGCTGCATTCTGCTGTGTGCTGAAGCTACTGTGTGCCTCTCCATGGAGTCTCAAAAAGACATGCCAACCCATACATGTGCTTAGGCTGAAAAAAAAGATAAAGGCCTAAAGAATAAACCTTGTGATGTGCAACTGTCATTCTGTCCTTGCTCACGGTTTAAATCTCATAATAAAAAAAATTTGTTCATCTTAAAATTTTGCCTCATCCCCTCGCAAATTGCTATTTGACAGCATCACATAACACTGCTGTTCACCATGCCTTGGGGACCCAGCCATACCTGGCTCCTGGACAGGCACATCATGGCGTCCTGGAAGAGCAGCAGCAGCCTGGCCACGTTTGACCATTTAGCCCTTTGTGAGGTCTTGGAGGAAGCATTTGCATGCAGAGCTGTCTGTCAGCCCCACAGGCTCATTGGGGTAGGCATGAACCCGTACATACCTAAGTATGGGGACTCCACCGACTCCCTGAATTTTCACAGGAGACCGACAGAAGACACCAGTTTCCACACTGCGTTCTTGACGCTGGGATCAATTTCACTGGTCTTTTTAGCTGAGTGACAACCAGAGTAGAGTCACGGGAGTCCGTGAAGGATAGGGCAGGATAGCCCCTGACAAAGTCAATAACAAAATTCCCACTAACTTCAGTGGAAGAAAAATCAAAACTATGTTTTCAATTAGGGCTATAGTCCTGGGAAACTGAGAGGGAAACTTTTAGTATTTTTCTAGCAAAGGCAGCTGGTAAAATCCTGGAATTTCCGTTTTACAAGGAAAGATAAAATTTATGAAGGCAAGTTGCACAAAACCTGTTTTACAAAATTGTAACCTGCAGCTTTCAGTCTAATTTTCTGACATAAGACAGAAGCTGTTACTGAAGATATAAGGGGTTCCTTGGGCTATTTCCTAGGCTGATGGCAGTGGTGGGGGAGCAAATGGGGGAGGCTGCCATGATTGTGGAGTCGAAGCTCCCATAGCTTCTGGGCTCCGCCAGCCTGAGCAGGGAAATGAGAAGTCCCAAGGCCCCAGGTTGCCCAAAGCCTGAATTTTAAAGTGGCAAATCCTGGAAACGCAGCTTCTGAGCACAGTGACAGAGGAAACTGCCTGCTCTGTCACAGAAGGTCATCAAAACTGAAATACTGCTCCAAAACATTCCAGTTTTGATTAATCAGCATTTCTACTTAAAAATCAGAAAGTTTTGTCAGAAGTTTTTCAACCACCTGTACTAGCAAGGACAGTGTACCAGTAAGTCTGGTTTGAATTGCATGGCCTCTTTGCTGACTACTGAAATACCTTTTAAGTCTGAGGAAGAAATGAATGGGCTCCACTATTTATTATTAAGTTTCACTTAGGAGCTTGTCTTTTAGCTTTACCTTCACTGCAATAAAGGCAGACTCTGCAGAGTGTCCTGCCCTGGTGATTTTCAGAGACACCACTCCCACGCTCTCACACACTTCATATTCAGTCTGTTGCATTTCAATCCGAGACCACCGTAGCTCCAGCCTGTGGGAGAGGGGGGAAAGCCGGTGTGAAGCAAAGCCACCTCCCCTGCTGCCCCCACCCCCTGCTGCTCCGAGGTTCAGTGAGGAGCCATTTCTGTCCTGACTGCTGATTTAGCCAATACACATACTGAGTCTTTGTTTCCAAATCAACACATTTGTGTGATTTGGCTGATTAGAAAGTGCGAGAGGCGGTTAATAAATCTTCCGGTGGAGCCCTGGTCTACCCCAAACCAAGCCTGAACCTTGTTTCAGAACCAGAGGCGTTCTGCAGCACCTTTGAGAAGAGCAGAGTTTGTTCATAACACCAAATAGGCCAAGACAAGCTATCACTGTTTCTTCCTACTTCCCTTTATCCCTGTTGTTTTATTTTACTCTCACTGCCCAGTATTTTCTCAGCAAGATCCTCCTTTCTTCCCACCTTCCTTCATCTATCCTCTAACTCTCCTCCTCTACAGTATAGGGCACGCTCCAGGACTTCACCGCCTCTGTGCGAGTGTCCTCCCCACTCCCCTTACTTTAATACTCTGTGTACTTCGCTCTTCAGCCATAGAAGTGGCTGAGTCCAGGTGTCTCATACACTGAATATTAGAATTGTTTATAGGGGATGTGACCAAGCCTCGGAGGATCGCACGCTGCACAGGGTAGCCAATAAAGATCTAGCCTTTTTAAAAAGTGTGATAAAAATTAGTGAGAGTCAGAGAGGAATGAAAGAGAGCAAAAAGAAGGAAAATGAGCCGTGCTACTTACAAAACAATTTGACCTTTTCTAAAACAAACTTCTAGACCTTTCAGGGTTGATTAGCTCTAACACCTCCTGTCGTATATTCTCTGATACTTATGGTGTGGGCAACCCATTCAGAAGCTGATTTGCTTTCTTTTTGCTAAAGAGGATGCATGTGCCAGATGTAGTCCAGCAGCATTCAGATAAAAGCTGGGATTCAATCTGAATAATATCAACGTGCAAATCAAACTTGTATTTTGAACCAGTGACCATTAGGTGACAAATTCTTTTAAAAAAACCCAAAACTCTCACAAGCTTTTAAATCCAATATTAAAAATATTACTTTTTCCTTAAAAGCCAAATTCCCCTTTGTTCTGAGGTCCCATGCAGCTAACCGAGAAATTCTACTTCTCTGAAACTCCTGTTTTCCATACAAAAAGTGGCTTCTCTTTGCTCTCTTCGTAAAGCTATGATGTTACGCATTTCTATTTATGTACAAGAACCCATACTTTCCCACGAGGAGTGGCAGCGTTTTGATGGCGGGGGTTATATCAGTGCACCTGTGAGCCGGCACAGTGCGGCTGGGAAGTGCTCAGGCTGGCTGTGTTCAGATGTGTTTGTGTCTGGGGACATCTTTTGGCATAGCGCGTAACTGCCGAAACGCTGTCTCCAGCTCTGCTCAGTCCCCGTCCTCTCTCTAGCGTGCAGGGAAGTGCTCTGCAGAGGAGCTTGGCCCTTGGAGCCAGGTCTCTGCTCCTTTTCCCTTGCCATGAGTCCTGGTTTGTGAGTAGCCACTTTAGCCCAGGAAAATAGCGTTAATTATTTTTCTCAGTTACTTCAGATTAAATAAATTGAACATTCAGCCCTATTTTCAGAAATAAAGAGAAACGTTAGCCCTGCTGTAGAGCTACTCCCACTTTTGGCCTTTATCATGAAAGCACAGTCCAGATGATACCCCACTCTAATTTTTGTACATTAGGCTTATCATATGTCACAAGGAAATTTTGATAATATGCCTAATATAAATTTTGGCAGTGGATGACAAAGAAGATGCTGTGTGCCTTCCACCTTCTTTCAGTGCTCTTTTGCAGAAGTATGGCTCTCATAGCTTTTACTGCTTGAGACCATCCCCTCCATCGTGATCTCAAGCTTGTAAAAAAAGTGTTGCCGTCAGCACAGGGCAAGAGTGATCTCCAGCTGCAGGACCATATACATGAAGCAACGGTCCTGTCCCTCAGCACCTGGTATCTCAGATCTCCAAATGCCCAACCACCACTTAGAGTAAACTCCATTATGTTTTTCTGTGGGGCCCCGAAGGCCCTTGAGAACTGTGCCCCAGTCTAACCTGGAGCTAGCCCTTTGTATTTCGCCTCCCTGAGGGGAAGAAACCTTCTCGACTCTTCAAGAAAAGAAATGGCAGTTTGAGTCACATCTATCTTCACGTCTGCGCGGCTTCAAGCCCTGCACTAGTTCATTCGCCCCAGGGGGTAGTGCGCGGAGTGCGCCACAGCACACACCACCGAGGGTCGGAGCTACCTTTGGGGCACTGCGGAGTTTCCACTGGCATCTGTGACTTGAAACTCCAAGTTGTCTGAATTCACTTCCCGCAATGGATTGATGACATAAAGAATGATTTTGCTGTTTAAATCCTTTTGGCTAAACCCTTCCTGAATAAATCCACCTGGGAAAGAAGAGGAACATTCAGGTGAATCAAAAGACTGTTAATGAGAACTGCGGAGCTCATATAGACTGTTTTCAACTTTTCTTTTTGTTGAACACTTAGAAAATTTGAACTTACAGAAACCTGGTTTTATAGCTAAACAGCAACATCCCAGCTTGTTATAAGCCCCAGCCAATTTCTTCCCATGTGCCATGTTTATCAAATGGCCAAGTTCAATATTCATCTTTTTTTTTTTCTTGACACAAACAAAAAATAGTTTCTCAATGGCAGCTATTAACAATCACCTCAAACTCCTTGAGGATTCATGGTGAACGTGAAACTCAGGTTTTAGTGTAAAAGCCTTCTTACTACATTCAAACCTTGCCCAAAGTTTGCAAAGAAATTTTTATTTCCTCTATCAAGCAAACATTAACAGGGTAGGTTTTGGAATCTGGTCTGGTATGTCCCAAAACACAGAGATTATAGAAGACAGCACCTGTTGTTATATTTTTCAGGTAGCCATAATGAGGACCTCGTAAAATCTTAAAAATTATTTTGTCATCTTCTGTATTGGGGTCAGATGCCTTCAGGGACCTGGCAGTAATATAGATCCCGTAATTGCCATTCTTCAGCAGTTCCACATCAGAAAAGCAATGGAGATGAATAATTTTTGGTGCCATTTTGTCCAAATGATCCACCTAAATCAAAGTTAGAGAAATGTATATTCATTTTACAGCATCAGGATATTCTCAGGATATTTTGCTAAAAGCACAGTAGCTTGCTGTGGCAATAGCCACTTTGACTCACAGTCTGCTCCAGAAGGAGTCTGATCTCCAGTTAGATACTACTTCCCATGAGAGGTTTCCAGGCCCAGATTGCCCAGTCGCTTGCTGCATGCAGTGGGATACAGCAAACACTTGGGAGGGCAACAAAAATTCTGTGTACCTCTGCCCTGATATGCCACACTCCCCATAGTCCTTCTCCTTTTTGATGTAATTTTCTTCATAGCAAATGAAAACTCCAGCAAAGGTTTCTCACCTCTGTTTTACAATAACAAGCATGGAAACCTAAGGATTATGATGATCACAGTCATAGACCTGGCCAATTCTGTGCCACCTTTCACAACTTCTGATGAATCTTCTAGCACTCCGCAACGGTTGTTTTTGTTTCCATATCTCATCTTCCGCTGAAATGGCACTCCTCGCTCATCATATAACTTCAAACTTTGTCATCAGGAAAAGTTAGGGGCCTCTTCCTTAGTATCAGTGTTTTGAAACATACAGAACTTTGACATACAATGCAACCAGGCCTGCTTTGCATACTGAAACATGCCAGATAGATACATACAAGAAGTCATAGCAAAGCCATCTGAGCGTATGATACAAAGGGAAGAACTTGAAAATGAGGGAAATGGGAAGTGAACAGAAAGATCCTGGTAAAGGAAGGAAGAATCAGAGCAGGCATCTTACAAAGACTCCCAGAAAGAAGACAGGTTGTCCAGTTGTGGGAGCAAAGTGGCTGTAATTCAAGATTCCTGTGACATGAAGATCAATAGTCATTCTAGTATCCCTCACATGCAAACCAGTGGGCCAGGTACCAAGTGGGAAAGCAGGAGGAAGTTCATTCCTCCCCGTAGCTGGTCTGAACTTTAGGGTTGAGATTTCTATGTAAAATATTTTAGCAAGTATAAGTATAAAAGTATATACTTGCTTGTATTTATATAAGCAGGATGTCTTTCTTCTCTTAAATACAGTCTCTCTCTTTGCACTCTATAAAATTCTTTGCCTGAGTAATGCATTGTGGCAAGTAGTTAATTTTCCAGGTTAATTATTCACAGAGCACAGAAAGCAAACATTTCAGCTGATAAATACCTCAGTTAAATCATAGACTGCAGCAAGTACCAGTTCTCATCAAAATTACTACATTTTCCACTTTATCATGCTATATATCTCTCTTAAGTAGGCCTGTGGTCACACTTGCCTGAATGGTGAATGCCACTGGCTCGCTCTGCACCCTCCCATTCACGATGAAGCCTTGATTAGTCCTATCTGTCGCAACAAATGTAAATCTGTCAGTCCGGGAATCCCCACCTCGGTGTTTGTATGCAACATCCCTGTTGTCCACATCTTGCTGGGTGAAATTGTACTGCAGTAGTACAGCCCCTCGATAATAGAGATGACCGTACTGGGGGAGCTGATCCAAGAGGAAGGTAAGGTTTTCTTTGGCAGTGTCTGGGTCTGAAAGCCGCAGGACATCAGAAGAAAGGACTGCCATAGCACCTTCCACTAATCTTAACCCCGTGTTCCTAGACAGAGTGGGCAAAGCTTGGTCGACTGCCTCCAAGGAGATCACGAATGTCCCATGCTTAGTTCTCAGTCCATTGCTGATGATGAATCTGGCAAAGAGAGGCAAGGTAGTCTTCAGCATGTGTTCTTGATTCACCATGTACTGAAATGAAATGATAATACACACCTTTACTACAGGACTTGCCTGTGTTGATACTGTAAAAGTAGTAGACCTGGTCTGAGCTCAAACCCAGACTGTGGGTGGGGTGGATGTATAACTTAAAAACATGGAAGCAGATGGCCAGGTATATGGCAAGAGTTACAATGCATCTGCAGGAATCTGAGTAGATGCCAGAGGAATGGCTTTGAGGATGTACACATCAGTCTCAGCAGTCATAACAGCTGATTTAATCTTCTAGCTCAGATACAGATGGAGCAGACCTAAAATGGCGGGCTGGCCGGGGGTTTATTGCACCCTCTGGCATACATACACGTTTGTACACAACCTTAAGTATATCTTCACTTGGTTACCTGACAGCGGCAACTGCCAGTGAAAAGTGCTGGCTTTGTCTATAACTTACAGGAAGAGGTGTGTAAAGTGCATGAAAAATGTTATTTTTCTGTTCACTGTTACAAGCCTTTTGTACCAAATAGCCCCAAAACTATCTAAAAAAGCAAGCTGGAAAAAGATCCATCCTCATCTCACTTTACGGGTTTGTTTAGGCACTAACTGTATTTGTAAATTTCTGTATATTCAGAGGAACTGATTTATGTTTCTTTACAAAACTCAAGTAAGGTTTCACTGAAATACTGAGATTCTGTGGGAGATATTGGGCAGAACTATACAAGTTGCTAGGGTAATTTTAAAAACGTAGATGTCCATACCATGTATTTATCAAAGGGTCAGATCTGCAAAGTTCCTATTCCATGCTGGGAATTTCTATTAATAGCAGCATAGTTTCTTATAGTTCTCTCTCAAGCAGTAATATATCTTTAGATATACTAAAGATTTGATTATGCTCTACAGTTAATTTTCCTTTCCTAAAGAAGAGAAAGATAAAGGTGCCCAAGGCTGGAGAAAAAATGTGTTGGAAGCCTACCAGCTGGGTATGGGCTTTTGCCATACAAGTGACAGCATGTTCTGCAGAAATTTATTATCAAATTTAGTTGTGGATAAAACCAAAGAGAAAAACAATCTTTTAGCCTTCAAAATTCATCCTAGCCTTCACTGTCAAGATTATTACTTAAGTATTTTTTATGAAAGCAATTACACTGGACTTTGTCATGCCTGTAACAAAAGCTTTTGAGGTTATATGAAACTAAAAATTGCTTTGAAAATGTCTCACGATCCTTTGTGTCCCATCACCATATAGTACGTAAGAGTTACCTTTCTTTCTACAGAAGTTTCTGTGGTTATGCAAAAGCATCTTGGAGAGTGGTTTTCACCCAGGTTTGTTCTGCCTGAGCCAGAACAGAGTCTGCTTTGCAAAGAAGTTTGCTTGTGGTAGACTATTCATATTCCCTGACCTTCCTTTTTCTCCCACCCTCCAATGCCCAGCACTTTGAATGCACATACGGTTACACTTACGCAGTTGATCTTGTATGATGGGCTGGTTGTTTCAGACAATATGAGGGCCAGCCTAGCTGGCTGCTTTCCACCTAGCGTGCTTCTACCATACATAAGTGAAATGGGGACTGGTTGACATTTCGACTAACTGCCTCCTCTTGCTTTCTTGACTGCAGACCTCAAAGAAGTATTTAATTAATTACAGGGTCAGAATCTGGCCTATTGTTGCATGCCTTGAATGTAAGTGACCTTCAGTAGGTCATGGAGTAGCTTACTGTGTCACACAGACTGTCCATCTAAAACTCCTCACTGCCTTCACCAAAGCTGGATGATTAGGGCTTGATCAACTTGTAAGCTGGCAGTATGCCATGAAACAGATGGGAATGAGCGTAGGCAGACCAGGGACTATATAGCAGTTAGAAATATGTTTACTGAGGATGGTATTCCCAGCTGGGAACTTAGAGACATCTGTCTGCACTGACCTAATGCTATTGTGCCAATGGTAAAGGGGTTGTGCGATTAGTAATCCAGCTGAAATCAAATACAGAACTAAAATAATGATGATAAGTACTATGCTAAGGAAAAAAAAGGTGAAACACATTCAGTCACGACCTTAACCACGTCTCAAAAAGTCTGGAAGACTGCAGCGGAAGTGAGTTTCCTCTGGTTCTTTTGATGGCTGTAAAATCATTTGGATGATGTCTCAAACAATATTTAGGTGAAAGACTTAGATAATTCAGTTCATGAAATGGAAGATTCATCCGGTCTTCTACAGAATACAGATAGGAGCAAACCTCCTGGTTATATACATCAGACTGAAATTTACAATGCAAATGTCGTACACCACTTGATTTCACAGGTGATGAAGCTGCCTGTGTCCAAGATGTCCTTTTTTCTGCACTTTGGGAGATTTTGGTTGTTTATGGCTGCTTCATCTTTTCCTTAGGAATGGAGAGCAGCCAATATTCTCCTCACTCTGATGAAATTTAGGGGACAACTCTCAGGCACAGTTAGGAGGACATGTTGCATGGTTTGATTTCACCATTACCAACATTTCATGCTTTCTGCAGTTTGATGGCAACAGAGTTGGCTGTAGGACCTAGCATCTGTCATGGCATTTAAAAGATAAAAATGGAATCATAAACAGTGCCAGCTCATTACAAAATCAAGCCAGCATGTCAAAATGGAGGACATTAGCATGTTCTTTTAGTATCCTGCTGCCAGCATCTGATGTCAGGTTGCTAATCACTTGAAGTCATCTGTCCAAACAAGCACTGCCAAATCTTTCTTCCAGGCCAGCAGCACCAAACAATACAGGCAAATTTATGTCTGAAGGAAGTACTTCAGTGGAAAGTAAAAACCTCATCAGTTAATCCCCTCCCTATAATTACCCATATAATTAATGTAACCATTCCTTGTTTAAATAATAATAATATTCTGCCACAATATTTATATGTCTACACAAACCCAAATTCTTTTCCAAATTATAACATCAAGGAACACCAATTATTGTGATTAAAATAGTTATTGAATATCAATATTTATTAAAGCATCATAACCTTACTTTTATAAGGCTGACTTTCTAGTTTGTTTCTTAGCCATTGGCCTAAACAGAAGACATTGGGTTTATCCACATGCACTGTTTCCCTAGAATTGTTTGGTCTGCTTTCATTAGAGTGGTATAGAAGTCATATTGATGCAAGCCACTCCTACACTGCCCAACCTAGCGTTGGTATGACTGCAACCTTACTTGTCTAAGCTAATTCTAGTTTTGGTCATAGTGTTTCACAACTGAGAAACATAAAGCCAGAGAATATTTGTTCACTTTTTCTGTTATGACTACAAGTGCATCAGACAAATCTAACTAGAATTTCCACCACATTGAATTTAGTGGAAGGGATAGTTTAAAATGTTTCAACTGAGGAAAGTCCCAAAATTACTTTTGGCTTAACTCTAGATAATGTCACCTGAGCTGCCCCGGTGTCATAGGGAGGTTTATTTGATGTCTCCATGCCCCACTTGCTTGACTTCCCTGTAAAAAAGCTCTCAAACTGGATGATGCAACATGTCCTTGAATCTTCATCATGCACCATGGAAAATGTCATTCAGATCAGGAATCTATTCATAAGAGAGTGTAAAAAGGGGTCTTTTCTGAATTGCAACTCTTAGGAGCTAAACTCTTCTGTTTTCTTAGACACCAATGAAAAAACAATAAGCTTTTTTGTGTGTGTGTAAAATTGGAATTTTACAGAAAGTCCATTTTCTGTCACAAGCTGTTTTCAGAGGCAATTGCCAATGCTAGCAAGAAGTTAGTGCTCTTCCTTTAGAAACCTTTTCCTTATTTCTGAGCTTTTTTTTTTCCTGAATTTGCTTTCTTTTACAAAACTGTACCTGAGACTTTGAGCAATAATACATCTACTTTGTCTTTACCTGATGGTAACTCATTACATCATTCCACTCTATAACCAAGGGAGGTTCATTTAAGAACAAAATAAGGAAATATTCACTTTAGGAGTGCACCTAGTCTAAGCTGATCTAAGAGGAATGTTCAGAACCAGGTGAAAGTAAACTTAAATATCACTAGGCTGCTGAAATGGGCCTATAGGTAACCACGTTTACCCCAAAAATCCAATTGTCTACATGAATTTCTGAGCTATTTTGGTGTCAGAATAGATAAGTAGACTGGTTTTCAGTATGTTCAAGAGCTACTTATGGATTCAAAAAGCCTGGAACCAAATGAATATGATAAGTAAGAATAGACAAGAAAGCAGTTCTTTAATACCTGGATGGACCAGTTTTACTACATCCAGCTGTAGCAAGAAACCAAAGGAAAATTCCACAATGTACATTCTTAGTCCTTTTCCCCCACTTAAACCTTAACAGCTGTGTATGATTGGGTGCTATAATAATATTGAGGCTAGTATCATTGAGTGAATGTGTCTCTGGCTACAGTTTCAGCATCAATTAGAAAATCTATTACCAAAGCAGCCACAACTACATGTATTATAGTAGAAATATCTTTGCTGAGAATTTCCACAGAGCTTCCATCTCTTTTTAATAATTTGGTTTGGGTTTTTTGTTTGGTTTGTGTTGTGGTTTTTTTTGAATACCCAAGAAGTCCAAGGGGAAAAGTTTGGAGGGGGGAGGAGGTGTTCTTCCTTACCTGAATGTATCTTCAGGAGCAACTGCCTTTGTGTTGTGAACATAGCAGACTATCTGTCTTGCTATATCCATTTGACTGAAGCTCGTAATGGGGATGCCAGGATAGCCAATATACTCTATTTGTCCATACTGGGGTGGGGAGGTTATCACATAGAGGAGCTCCTCTGGCTTGTCAGTACCATCCAGTGCAAGGAGGACATTGGTTGTAATGTAGCCCCGATCCCCTTTTGGCACTCTAAGAGGTTTTATGAAAACAGCAATGTCTCCTGCAGGATAGACAAAACAACACTAAAATATTCATATTGAATTGCAAGTTGATCTCTTATGCATTATTTAACCACATGCAAGTCAGTGAAAAAGCAGGAGAAAAATCATAGGACTGTAGGATTATAGGGAAATTCAGGCTGGAAGGGACTTCAGGATGTCTTTAGTCCAACCTTCTACCCAAAGCAGGGTCAGCCATGAGATCAGCCATAACCAGGTTGCTCAGGGCTTTATCCCATCAGGGCTTGAAAGCTGCCGAGGATGGAGACAGCACAACCTCTCTGAACCCTTGTTCCAATCTTAGCAGCGTCAGGTTAACTTGGTCTAATTTAGGTTTCTAATAGGGATGCAATAAAGGAAGCGAGACTGTAAGACTAGAGCGTAAACCCGGGAGGCAGAGCTGTTCTTGAACAGTGTTTTGCCTGCCTTATTATATTCTTGCCATTTGTCTGTGCTTTGATTTACTCAGACACAAAGCTAGTTTCAGAAGGATATTTTCAACTCTATTTGAAAAGTAGCTGGGAGTCCTGGGAGGCAAGGTGCAACACATTGCCTTAGGCAGAGCCTTTTTGAATCCCAGGACCACTTCTTCACCAGCAGGAACATCAGGGCTCTGGCCAGCAGTGAAATCCAAGCAGACGGACTTTCAGGATCTGCAGGGAGACTTGCCAAGGGCCCATATAGCATTCAGGGAAGGATCAGGACATGTTCTCAGATCACCTTTGTTTCAGAAGCAGGCACTGTAAAATGTCAAGTCTGGCAGATCTTTACCTTTTTCCATGTCCTTGATATTTATGTAGAAGTCCACAGCTGGGGATCTGTTGTACCCATCCCACAGGTAAAATGTGAAGCTGTCTTGGTTCTTGGACCCTATAGCTCCTGTATGGACATATCTCACAAGGTTCATATCCAGTTCTTCCTGAGTGCATTTCATTCCAGTTTGGAGAGTCATCCAGCCTTGCCCTACCTAGAAAGAACAAACATCCTTCATTAAACAGACAGTCTCCCTTGCATCCTCCCCAGTTAATTGTGTTTCTTTGCAGTTATGCAGACTGTTAGTGGCAGCTACCTGGCTTCCCTTCTAAGATATAGACTTATATCATACTCTTTCCTCACAGTATGTTTTGAAGGGCAGTAAATAGCTGGAGTTGTTCCCAAGCAGCTATAAGGCTGGAGAAGATACAGTGATCATGAATAAAATGGAGTAAGTGGAGTTTAGCCACTTCTACTCCAGGAAATAAATTTCTGCACACTTCTCAATGAGACACCAACAAGATGAAAATGAAGTTGTTCCTGACTCAGCTTATGTTTTCTATTTCTTAATTTCACAAAGCTGCTCTGGTTCTATCCGAAACCATATCTAAAAGGATATCAGAAATGAACCTATGGGGAACTTCAGGGAAACACAGAAATTTAAAGCCCCAGAGGTCCTCTGATGGAAAAATGTGAATTGCCCAATAATATTTCCTGCTTTTCTGAAGATAGCATAGTACCTTATATTGGACTGATCTGTGTATTTGACATTTAGCCTGCAGTAACTGTGTCACTAGCTTTGGAGCAAAGGTTATCAAGGACAGAGACCTCAAATACACGCAGGTACCCTATATGTTCAAACTGTCAGACTCCAGCCAGTAGCTGTCTCTAGCCCCAGTGTGTGGGACCCCTTTAATTCACAAGTCTCATGTGATCCACAGATTCTTGCAGGGATCCGGCATCAAAATACTTTCCACGCTCACAGGTCTTAGAAACTGATTTCTTTCTATTATATATGCATGCAATTAAAAAGAGACATTTTTTCTGTTTGTTCCTGTGGCTTATCTTTGGTCAATAGATGGTCATCTTTCCTTCCATTTCTAATCTTATTTTCTGCCTTTCCTCTTGCTATGTCCTTTCCATCTCCTCCTTTTTTTCCCTTCCTTCCCCTCATCTTTTTCTTCTAACTCATGATTTATTACTCACTCTTTCATGCAGATCTCTGTCCATTCTTTCTGAACCCTGAAGTAACTAAAGTAATGACTTTCTTGTCACTTTTTTTTGATCAAGGACTTCCCCCTCCCGAGCTTTGATGCTTGGTTTTCCCCCTCCGTGGGCTGCTTCTCCCAGCATCTCTCTTCCTTGTCACCTCAGATAATCTGCCATGCTTTTCACCCTCCCTCTCCTCCTGTTGAGGACCTGGCCTTTAGTGTCAGAGCCTCTGGGACAGCATCGTTGTTTGGTTCAACTCTTTCAACAATCAAACTGGCCACAGCCGTCTACTTCAAAACATGACAGACATTTGGGAGAAAAGGAAGATGAACTTCATTCTACCCTAAAAAGAGAGAGTTCTTTGCATGCCTGCTTTTTGTTGAAGTACAAAGACTAACCTTGAGCTGCAGCTGGCCATTTTCTGGAAGTCTTTCAAAGAAGTAGTAAATTCTTTCCCTGGGGGTATCTTTATCTTTCGCTGACAGAACAGCACTAGAAATGATTCGAGTTTCACCCATGTTCACCTCTATATCATCCTTCCTGCAAAAATTAAAAGTCATGTGTTGATGCAATAAAAGAAAAGTAACCTTTCCAACACGTAATTTCTCTGCCAGGAATATGGCCTACCCAGATGTTGACAGAAATGACAACTGCAGAAAGAATGGAAGGAGGGTGCCTATTTCAGTTCAAAACAGAAAAAAAGCAAACAGGGTAGACCAGCTTCTCCTTACAATGGTGAAAAACAACAAAGATAGATACCTACAAAAACCTGGGATTTACCACGTCTGTCTTCTTCCCCTGGGCCCTATTCCGCTTACCTTCATACAATTTATAAGAAGAGGACAATGTAAACAAATAGGCTGTATTATATGTTACTGCCACTAAAGACCATAGAGAGGACAATGTAAACAAATAGGCTGTATTATATGTTACTGCCACTACAGACCATAGCAATACTGGCTCTAATGAACTGATTATTCATTAGAGAAAAGACTGTCTTTCAAATGACTAGTCTGTTACTGCTCACCTTAATCTTTAAGAGACACTAAGAAGACATAACTGGCTGCTTCTCTATGATCCCCATTGCAGAATTTTCCTGGGTTCTTGATTCAGAAAAGTAGGTTAAGGCCACCTGTTCCTTGGCTGAAATGGCCATCACTAGCCACAAATAAAATTTGAAGCAGCTCTGGGGAAAAAAATCCCACATAGTTTGAAATTCATGCAGAGTCTTGCTCCAGGATGATTCTCGGATCGTGTCTCCTCTGTTTCCGTTCTCAGCTAGTAACCATCCTCCAGTTTGCCTCTGCACACCCTGCTTTATCATTTTTCTGTTAACTGTCTTACATTTTTGCAATGTAGCGCCCGAACAGTATTATTAGACTATACAAAAGTTGCAAGGAGGTTGAAGGGGATTCAGCCTATTCAGTCACCCCAGGGGTGGGACCTGCTCAAGCTAATCTGCCCAGGGGCCTTGGAGCAGGTTGGAAAAGGACAGACTCCTTAGGCATTTGGGCAGCTAAGCTCTGGCTGGATGCAACTGAGCATGTGCAAGCCATGCTATTTCAAAGGCCAAATACAGATAGATTTTTACAAGAATTGCTAAAGACATATTCTTCATATAACAGCCCTTTCCTTTGCCAAGCTGCAAGTGCCTGCTCCAAAGCAGAGTGACAACTGAGATTTCCAAAGAAGTTGTCACAATTATTTAGTGATTTTGGAAAATACATTTATTACTCTCAGAAAGAGTGGAGATTTTTTTTCCTGGAGTTTCATATTCAAACTGATATGGATATGAGGCACAGAAATTTCATGTTTGGCAAAATGAGAAGCAAAGAAAATGGAGTCATATGACAAAGTATATTAAGTCATATTAATGACAGATCAAGCAACCTTAATGATTTGCTCATACCAGCAATAAATGTGCTGGGACTATGCAAACAGAAAGACCAGGTGTCTGACCCAAAGTCTGTATGAGCCAGGAAGAGAAAATTCAAATGAAAAAATAAGTGAAGATAAACACGTTTAGCTACACCCTGAATGCTGTCTAATCCCAACTCATTTTTCTGCATAGCAGTTAGTTGGTTAAGTCCTTCTAGCACCCATATGTCTCATCTTGAGAAGAAGCTTTCAAGGGGAGTGTCTGAGGGCCTTACATTCCCCAAAGGCACTCCTCGCTACAGGATGCAATCCAAGAGGTGACAGATTGAGTTTTTGGCAATCACTGTGACTAAGAGCCACTGTTTGCCAGCCAAAAACATCCCATCCCAGATTTTTCAGTCTGTTGACCATAGCTGACAGAGAGCTGAAACTCCATGGGGTGGAAAGGTGCCCCCAGATCAAAAGGTGAGAAAAAGCTTACATGTATTGTCAAATGTTCATCTGTAAAACACTGCAGCGGCATAAGGGAGCTCCTACTCCACAGCAAAGACATGGTGACTGAATGTGGCAGCTAAACCACTTCAATGCCAAACTGAACATGTTTGCTTAAATCACTACTGCTTAACTGCTGGCAGCACACTGCATCTCAGTGGAAGAGTAACAGGCAAGAAGCAGTAACTTCTTACAATGAAACAGTTATTTTGCAAGTAGATGGCTCACTATGTGCTACTGTTCACCACAGGAACGGCAAATGGTGAGATCTAACATCACCAGACAAGGCAGCAACAGTTTTTGGATTCAGCTGGGCAAAGCTAAACACACTTGACTTCTTGCACTCCATCACCTTCCTTCAGAGAGAAAGGGTGGAAAATGACATATCAATCTTCACCATGTGAGGAACAAATAGGCAATTATCAGTAATTATCAGTACATGATATGAATACGTAAACTATACCCTTTATTCTAACTAGAAATGGACTTTCTCTCTTGTTAGCATTATGTGGTCCTTGATAATCTTTCAACCAGAAAACTAGTATTTGTTAATGCAGGAAGCTCTACATGGTAAACAACACATTCAAAATTCTCTGCAATGGGAAATGTAGGTCTGATCTGAAGGTAGGCCAAATATCCTGAGGGATCAGAAATTCCCACTTTAGTGGCAGCCTGCTTAGCAGGCTGTGGGTCATTTCCGAAATGCAAACTTTAGAGGTTTGCCTTTCAACTAGAAAACTAGTATTTGTTAATGCAGGAAGCTCTACATGGTAAACAACACATTCAAAATTCTCTGCAATGGGAAATGTAGGTCTGATCTGAAGGTAGGCCAAATATCCTGAGGGATCAGAAATTCCCACTTTAGTGGCAGCCTGCTTAGCAGGCTGTGGGTCATTTCCGAAATGCAAACTTTAGAGGTTTGGAGCTATAGCCCCAAAACTTTCAGGTCCCCAGGTCCCCATCTGCCTGGCTGGGGCTGGAAAGCAGCCAGGAGGAGGGAGGCCCTGATGCTCTGTGGCAGGTTGTCGGCTAAAAAATGGGGATCCCAAGGGACAAGCTCCTTGTTAAAATGTCCGGGAGGTTCAGCTCTCTTGCAGCCAGCTGCCTATCTGCAAATGGTCTGCCAGGCAATTTCTGAACACATCTAATTCATTTATGACTCCTAGTTTTAAACTGTAGGGGAAGTTAGTATGTACCTTTTCAGAAGTTGAATTATGGTGGAGCAGTGGAGTTTTATAATAGAAAAGAGAAGAATCATTAAGCTGAAAGACTTTCCCCCATGAGGCAAGGAGGCATCAACTTTGTGGATTCCCTCATGCCAAAATCCAGAGCTTCTTTCACAGAGGTGTTTTAGACAGGCGGTTGCCCCAGGGAAGGGGAAAGCAAAGTAACTGCAGTCAATACCATGGTGGTCAGTGGCCAGCAGAGGTGTGCAAAGATCAGGGCTCTCTGCAAACATCTTGAAGTAAGTTGTGAAAGACAAAACAAGCATGTCGTGTGGTTGTTTCCCCCCCCCCCCCCCCCCCCGTTTTTTTCTCTATTCTTTTAATATTGAGCAACCTTAAAGCATGCCCCTCTTTCATTAAAAATATTGTTGTTAAACAGGCTGATAGAGACCCACATGGAAACATCTGTATTGACATTAATCTGTGACTAGCTGTGGCATCCTCGCCCCATCAGTCATTGATTTGCTGTTTTGATCACTTTTGGATCATTTTGTCTGAACTCATCCCTCTGTCAGAGACAGGAACATGTGGCTTACTTGCTCAGCACTGGTTTCTCGTCATTAACTGGAATGACCTTTACTGAAATGGTTCTGAGGACTTTATGTTTCCCATCTGATAGCTGGATTTTAAAGCTGTCAGTGAGGTTTTCCGAATTGTCATGCATGTACAACAGCTTCATTCCTATGCAGGGGGCAGGGGGAAGAAAAAAAAAGGGGGTGGTGGTGGAGAGAGAGAAATGGAAAGAACAAATAAATCTGACTTCTGCAAAATCTCTCACATCATTTTACTCTGCTTCCGTCACCCTTCTTCCACCTCCCCTCCCCGTATGCCCTGGTCACAGCAAGCTTGTTTCATCTACCAGAACATGAGCTTGGTGAGCCACTGCTGTTCATTAATCTAACAACATACTATTGACTCAAAGACACCAGCCTGACCTGAGTACGGAGTGACTCCCTTCACAAAAGGGTCTCTGTCAGTCTGAAAAAGGCACATTTCTTCTCCTCTCCTCATTCCAATTCATTTTAACAGGGACCATAGAAAGGGTGACACTATCAGGCAACACTTTTCCGTGCCTTAAATAATCCTCAGGCAGCTTTAAACAAGGCTTGGGAAGGACAGCTGGCCTTGTGGCTATGACCATGGACAATCAGAAGATCTGGGCTGGAGGTGGCTTGGTCACCGTTGTGGACAGGAAAAGAGAAAAGCCAAGCAATTGGAAAAGAGTCAAAAATAGGACTTGGGAAGGCTGAGGAATTTGGGGTGGGGACATGATATTTCTGAAGGTTCATATTAGACAGGCAGAGAGAAGAAAAATCTTTCTGTGGGTTTTGAGGGCTGAACTGCAGGATTGAATTCATATCCCTCTTTATTTTGATAGATCCCATATTTCACTAAATGGCCACAGTCTGGAAGAATCCATCGTATTCTTGGCAGTGTTAAATACACTTTTTGATTACATGTACTTGAAAGAGCTTTGCTGATTCAAAGCAGGTTAACTGATCATGCTAAGCTATAGAGCCCCAGTTCATACCTTTATCATTAGGTATATGAAGGTATGATGAAGATATGTGTTGCGGCCTTTCAATATATAAAGGAGGCTTATAGGAAAGGTGGAGAGAGACTTTTTACCAATGCCTGTAGTGACAGGACAAGGGGCAAGGGTTTTAAACTGAAAGAGGGTAGGTTTAGATTGGACATAAGGAAAAAATATTTTACAGTAAGGGTGGTGAGACACTGGAACAGGTTGCCCAGAGAAGCTGCGGATGCCCCATCCCTGGAAGTGTACAACGTCAGGTTGGATGGGGCTTTGAGCAACCTGATGTAGGGAAAGATATCCCTGCCCATGGCAGGGGAGTTAGACTAGATGATCCTTAAAGTTCCCTTCCAACCCAAACTGTTCTATGATTCTATGATTCTATGATTCTGCGATCATTTAGAGCAATATTTAACCCTATGATCAGTTAACATGTTTTTAAATCAGTGTCTTTGTCTCTGTTCTAGGTGCTATCAAACATTTTGAAATCTGTTTGCTGTTATATTACAATATTCCCTCTATTTTTTCAGGGCAGATGGCCTCCCTAGTCAAATTACTACCCTTTCTGACAGGTAGGCCTCTCAGAGTGATTCTATTGACAGTTCCTAAAATCAATAGACAACATTATCATTAAATATGTTAACTTCTATTCCTAAACATTGTCTTGGAAATACACATAAGGCAGGTGAATAAATAAGTGGTGAAGGTTCTTACTGTGCCACCTTGCCTCATTAAAGGAATGAAAGACCAATGTCAGAAGAATGCTGCACCTACCATTCTTCAGTAGCTCCATGGAAAAGTCATGAACAAGCAACCCATGGCTGTGGTGGTTGTGGTTAATTAACTGTTTATAGTGTAGAATATCATTACCATGAACTCCATTAATAAGGAACCCATACCAGGGCCTCTGCACTTTTCTCTATTCTTTTAATATTGAGCAACATTAAAGCATGCCCTTCTTTCATTAAAAATATTGTTGTTAAACAGGCTGATAGAGACCCACATGGAAACATCTGTATTGACATTAATCTGTGACTAGCTGTGGCATCCTCGCCCCATCAGTCATTGATTTGCTGTTTTGATCACTTTTGGATCATTTTGTCTGAACTCATCCCTCTGTCAGAGACAGGAACATGTGGCTTACTTGCTCAGCACTGGTTTCTCGTCATTAACTGGAATGACCTTTACTGAAATGGTTCTGAGGACTTTATGTTTCCCATCTGATAGCTGGATTTTAAAGCTGTCAGTGAGGTTTTCCGAATTGTCATGCATGTACAACAGCTTCATTCCTATGCAGGGGGCAGGGGGAAGAAAAAAAAAGGGGGTGGTGGTGGAGAGAGAGAAATGGAAAGAACAAATAAATCTGACTTCTGCAAAATCTCTCACATCATTTTACTCTGCTTCCGTCACCCTTCTTCCACCTCCCCTCCCCGTATGCCCTGGTCACAGCAAGCTTGTTTCATCTACCAGAACATGAGCTTGGTGAGCCACTGCTGTTCATTAATCTAACAACATACTATTGACTCAAAGACACCAGCCTGACCTGAGTACGGAGTGACTCCCTTCACAAAAGGGTCTCTGTCAGTCTGAAAAAGGCACATTTCTTCTCCTCTCCTCATTCCAATTCATTTTAACAGGGACCATAGAAAGGGTGACACTATCAGGCAACACTTTTCCGTGCCTTAAATAATCCTCAGGCAGCTTTAAACAAGGCTTGGGAAGGACAGCTGGCCTTGTGGCTATGACCATGGACAATCAGAAGATCTGGGCTGGAGGTGGCTTGGTCACCGTTGTGGACAGGAAAAGAGAAAAGCCAAGCAATTGGAAAAGAGTCAAAAGTAGGACTTGGGAAGGCTGAGGAATTTGGGGTGGGGACATGATATTTCTGAAGGTTCATATTAGACAGGCAGAGAGAAGAAAAATCTTTCTGTGGGTTTTGAGGGCTGAACTGCAGGATTGAATTCATATCCCTCTTTATTTTGATAGATCCCATATTTCACTAAATGGCCACAGTCTGGAAGAATCCATCGTATTCTTGGCAGTGTTAAATACACTTTTTGATTACATGTACTTGAAAGAGCTTTGCTGATTCAAAGCAGGTTAACTGATCATGCTAAGCTATAGAGCCCCAGTTCATACCTTTATCATTAGGTATATGAAGGTATGATGAAGATATGTGTTGCGGCCTTTCAATATATAAAGGAGGCTTATAGGAAAGGTGGAGAGAGACTTTTTACCAATGCCTGTAGTGACAGGACAAGGGGCAAGGGTTTTAAACTGAAAGAGGGTAGGTTTAGATTGGACATAAGGAAAAAATATTTTACAGTAAGGGTGGTGAGACACTGGAACAGGTTGCCCAGAGAAGTTGTGGATGCCCCATCCCTGGAAGTGTACAACGTCAGGTTGGATGGGGCTTTGAGCAACCTGATGTAGGGAAAGATATCCCTGCCCATGGCAGGGGAGTTAGACTAGATGATCCTTAAAGTTCCCTTCCAACCCAAACTGTTCTATGATTCTATGATTCTATGATTCTGCGATCATTTAGAGCAATATTTAACCCTATGATCAGTTAACATGTTTTTAAATCAGTGTCTTTGTCTCTGTTCTAGGTGCTATCAAACATTTTGAAATCTGTTTGCTGTTATATTACAATATTCCCTCTATTTTTTCAGGGCAGATGGCCTCCCTAGTCAAATTACTACCCTTTCTGACAGGTAGGCCTCTCAGAGTGATTCTATTGACAGTTCCTAAAATCAATAGACAACATTATCATTAAATATGTTAACTTCTATTCCTAAACATTGTCTTGGAAATACACATAAGGCAGGTGAATAAATAAGTGGTGAAGGTTCTTACTGTGCCACCTTGCCTCATTAAAGGAATGAAAGACCAATGTCAGAAGAATGCTGCACCTACCATTCTTCAGTAGCTCCATGGAAAAGTCATGAACAAGCAACCCATGGCTGTGGTGGTTGTGGTTAATTAACTGTTTATAGTGTAGAATATCATTACCATGAACTCCATTAATAAGGAACCCATACCAGGGCCTCTGCACAACCCCAAATACCAAATGATCTTGAGGTACATCCAGATCAACCGCATTGATAACAGAGAGATCCAGCTCTTTCATCTCCCCCTCTTGAACCTGAACATGAAAGAAAAAAATGTCCAATTCTTTTACATAAAAAGAAATTACAGAATTTTAGCATAGTTTCCTAAGTAGGGTATTTTTGTGTATAAGCCTATCTCTTTGTTTCTTCCACCCCTTTCCCAGTAGCTTTTGAACCAGCTACTGATTTCAACCAGTTTAAGAGACATAGAGTAGTAAATGGTTAATGATGAAAAGAGAAGGTGAGATAAGGAGTTCGCATCTGCCCCAATTAATAGAAACTTAATAGTTAAGTAAGCAAACTTCGTATTAAGTGCTAGGGAATGCACAGAGGAGAAAGCCTTTAAATAGATAAATATGTATAAAAATATGGATGCATATAAATTTATACACATACATGCACTTTCTACTTTACAGTAAGATAAGCTTACACTGCCCTAGCATGGTAGTCACAGAATTATTATTTATGTTAAAAGCAGTCTTCAGAGGGGAGAGGCTATGCCAGGAACATAAAAAAAAACCTCTTCAAAAAAATTATAAAAGCTCTTGAGAAACCAGAAGAAGCATAAAGATCCTTCTGCTTTCTCAATGACTTATTTGTTTAAAGGTTTTGAACAAGATTGTTAAAGATTGTTTACGTGGGATTTAACTGGGCTGTTATGTGAACTAGGCTGAACGACACAAAGTAAGGGAAAGATGCAGAGGAACAGCTGTCAGAGCAATGTTCCTATTTATATTAAAAAGTGTTTTCTGGTATAAAATAATTCCATGACAGGTATTTTGATTCTTTCCTTACGGTAATATTCCTTGCTATGAATTCTGGGACTTCATCATTGGTTGGGTTGATCAGCACGAAAAATGGAGTCTCTGCCGAACGATGCAGCCCATCAGTGACATAAAGTACAAAGTGGTCTGCTGTTGGCTCCATTCGCATGTGCCTGGCTTGTACATAATTTATGTTCAGGGCTTTCAGGTGCTTCAGCTGAAATGAAGCTAGAGATTTTAAAGAAATTATGAGTTAGCACAATCTCGTCCTGCCTTCTGGTCTCACGTATCATAAAAAAATCTGAAACTATGTCTTTCTTCAAAGAACAAATAACTTGGATTTTATAAGTTCTCAGTCATTTTTTGGCTGAAAGAGTTACACTGCACATGTTACCACAGGACACATGCCCTTCCCCTGAAACAAAAATGCATCCTTCTGCTTCTTGTGGGACTGTGTAACTTCATACTTCTCAGTTCAGTCTGCAGAACCGAGCCCAAATAAAAAGACCCAAATAACAGGTAGGAAAAGATCTGGGATCTAAGTAATTACATTGATTGTTATTTGACTGACAGACCAGGAAAATGGGACCAAAAGGCTCAGTGCTTCTGGGCGTCCGACTGGAGACACCGGTAAAAGCTGGTAGCATTACAGATCGTGCCATAATCTGTTCTGCTGAGGATGAAACTGCCTTACAATGTTTAAAGGTGGACAAGGGAAGAGATCCAAGTCAACCACCACCTCCATCGCTTTTGTAACTTTGCGTTGGAAACTAACATGGGACCCAGGTTTTTCAAATTCTCTGCTACAGCATTTAATTGAGAGAAGTAGAGGTGAAGGGAAGTGCGGGAGCCTTGCATGGGAGAGTGAAGGGGGAGGCAGAGAGAGCAGATTAATGTCTCATATCACCAATTCTAATAGATTGCAGCTGGAATGCATAAAACAAGGATTGGCTTGTTTACTTCAAGTGCCAATTCTTCACATTTGCAGAGCTGCCGTCTCCCTTTGAACTCCTCCCACACAGTCCCACTGCTCTTCATTTGCCAGCACCTGCCTTCCTCAATAAGCCCGTATTAATGCACACACCTGCAGCTACTTAACCAGAGCCCACCTCACAGCCCTTCACAAGCCCTCTGTATTTCATCTGCTTGATTACCATACCTCGTTAAGACTTACCTATACTGATACCAATGTTGCTCTTCTCAAACCCAGGAGAAGGCAGTATATTTTCAATGTAACCAAACTGGGGAGGAGAAACCAAGACAAACTCTAAGTCATCTGCAGTGGTGTCAGGGTCAGTGGCAAACAAGTGGTTGGTAGTAAGGGCTGCTGAGGAGCCCTCCTCCACCACAAACCTTGCACCTGCACACAAACAATATGACAAGCATTATTGCTTATTTATCTCATTTTACTGTTGTTTTTGGTAACAAGAATGGAAATAATAACTAAGGGCAAAAAGACAACAAATACTGAGTTACTGAGGGCTTTTGGTTTAGGGTTTTTTTCTCTGCTTACACCATCAACTCTACTTTTGCCATCATGTAAGTAGAGAGGAATGGGATCGTGAAATTTTTTTACTGGTAAGTTATTACGTATGGTTTATGTGCTGCTGAAAATCAGTTGTTATCTCTGTCAGAGCATTAACTACACGAGAGCTGTTCGTTGTTATCTCTGTTTGTCAGAGCATTAACTACACGAGAGCTGTTACGAATTGCTCACAATGAACAATTTTTCATGCATCACTGCTTAATTTACGTGCTGGGACAATGCTTCATTTCCAGAATGTTACTTGGGTGAGAGCCTGCAAATTACAAAACTACTCATGCATACGCTTAAATATTCTCTGAGGTACAGAACATGTATGTGATGCTTACAAAAAAATGATATTGAAAAAGATAAGCATACAGAAAGCATACCTTTAACATGTATACTACAGACCTCATCCAAAGCCCAGGAAGTCAATGGAAATTTCACACATTGGGCTGTTGTTGGACTAAATGTACATTACTAACACTATTTCCATTGTAACTGAGTATTTCTGATCCTGAAGAGTACTAGTGAAAATGTGGCTTCACGTCTATTAATTTGATCCATTACATATATAGCCTAGATTTGTCTTTATTCACTAGCAGAATTAAATATAGGTAATAAAAGATTCCCTCCCTTCATAGAAGAGCTGGAGTCTAAATTTCTGTTGTATATTTTACGTGCAAAGGTAGATAGATATTTACATTTATGTTTTTGCATTGTATAAACCTGACAATTGTCTGGACCTAAGCTCAGTTCAGGGACAAGATATCGATCACTTTTGCTCAGACATAGCTTACATGTGCAGCAATGGACATGTATAGCTGCAGGGGAGCAGATCTGAGCACTCTTATCTCTAACCACATGATTTAAACATGCAGCTGAAGAGCCACAAGCAGTTATTCATACTTGCACCTGCAGCTGAATTTGGTGGTTACACTGTACTAGCAAAAGAAAAAAATATTGATGGAAATTCTGATCCAAAACTTTTGTATGCTGATCTCAGCTGACTCTTTCTGATACTAAAAACAAACAAAAAAACAGACAAACGCCCTGAGTCTTTAGCCATTACAGTACTGCATAGCCCACATTATAATGCTATAGTGAGAGGAAGCTTTCACCAGTTGCAATTGATGGAGGCTGGTTGTCCACTGGAAGTACAGTGATGTTAAGGTCATACACTGGAAATGGATCGTGAAGCGGAACTGGAGGAGGAAGAGGTCCATCATAACAGCAGTCTTTCACATCTAGGCCAGCCTCACCGTCAGAGACAACGAAGGTTAAGATCTCAATGGAAGGAGTCAGGCCAATCTCCCCACCTGGAAAAAATGTTGCAGTTCAGAAGAAATGTTTTACCAAAACTTCATGAAGAATAATTTTGTTTCCTGCAAGGACAGTCTGCAGTATTCGAAGTCAGAAGAAAACAACAGCAAAATTACTAGAATTCTTCATTCTGGCTGGTGGGGGTGCTGTTTGGTTAGGGATTTGGTTTGTTGTTTGTAATTAATTTTAACCAGCTTACTTCTATTCTAGAATAAAAGGGTGTAGAAAAGTATATAACGAAGTTAGTATTACTAATAGTTATAATATTATTATTGCAATGTTATAATATTCTATTGTAATTGTAATAAAATGGCTCATAGTCCTCATGATTTTGTTCTTTGTGCACTAAGGCATGTGCAAAATGTACCTGTGTGCAGAAAAAGTTTTTTTCTGCATTCCTTCTCAAAGAATGTAGGAAAAGATCTTTCTTTTATATATGTATTCTCTGTATGACAAGTGGTAATACCCATGCTCTTCCAGAAGAAAACATTTTTGCATGCCAAGAAATGCATGTATTCATATATGCCTCTTATCCCTACAAAATGGACTATAACAAGGGCTGTGCTTTGTTACTATACTGTATATTACACCTATATGTAATCACATTCAAAATGTGGGCTGATACAGCACAGGACTGGGAACTGCCACCCCTTGCAAGAAGCACCTGTGGCTGAGTGTATTCCAGTTCTCAGCACTTCTGGTGGCCTGTGCCTTGCATTGCTGCAAGGTATTACTAATAAGCTGCCTGCAAAGGAAAGGCAGTGACTCCCACTCTCTCTTGTGATACCTACTGGCAGCACATTTAACGTGTAGAAATTTGGGAATGAAAAACCCAGGCACTGCACCCTTGAAGGTCAGCTTCTGCCCTTCATTGTGTTCTCTGCAAAACACTCTCATTGAAATAATGTTCCTGATATCTTGAGGATACTGAAGAAAAGTTTGTTATGGGTGGCCATAATCAAGTACTTCCTTCTCTTCTGAAATACCAGCTGTTCATTTTAGACAGTGCCAAGCCTGAAAATATCACATATATTCTCCATGCTAGTACAAAATTACAGACTAATTACACAGAAAACCAGAGCCTTTGAAAAAAGAAGACTAAAGCTTTCATCAGAGATGTAGAAAAAAGAACCCCTTTAATGCTAATGAAAGGTCGAAATTAAGTAGGAAAGGGGGTTAACTGGCCCTTGGTTTCTGTGAGTAATTAAAAAAAATTTGGATTTTAAAAGTAAAACCACAAAATAACATCTTTTTAGCACTGTGGTTCTCTTGAAGACAATCTGAACATTATTTATCTTGTGGTACAGAAAGACTATAAACTGTCCAAAAGTGGATATCCATCTACATTGGAGAGGCAAGCAAGAGGTATCTCAGGTTGTTAGCAGTTTTCTATTAAAACTCAGCATCCTCATTTACAGCGTTACATTATTTTGTCTAAACAAGAATATGGAAAAAGTTCAAAGTTGTTTTTTAATGTCATGAAACAAATAAAGAGACTCTATTTTGTACCTAATTTAATACTAATTTTACCAAAAAAGCCCAAGATATTTTATCAGCAACAGTGAAAGAGATCCTCCGGGATTACGATGCTTTCATGTACTTGTTCTAATATAATTTTCAGTTCAAACAGGGATTTGGAGAACACATTAAAACATTTGGTAGTTGTATATCATCAGCCCTCTTTCAAAGCCAGCTTACTTTTTTCCCTAGTCACAACACATGGTTTCTCAGCAGTTCCTGCTGAGCTTCTGCAAAGATTATATGGATTCAGGTTAAGATTTTCTGCCAAAAACTCTCTGACCACCTTCCAGTCTAATTCTGCCCTTAACTCACTTACTAGTGTGCTTATATGTGACTAAACCAGAGATGACATCAGCTTGGGAGAAACGATCCACAGCAATACCAGCTTTCCTCACTACCCCGTGGTAGGGCTGGCGAGCCAGCATAAACATCAGTTTCATGTCATCACTGTCTGCATCTGTGGCATAAATGTACTCCGAGGAGAGGACCACTTCTTCACCCTCCAGGCAGTGGAGCACAGGAACAAGGCCTGTTCGCATAACAGGTGGCTCATCATTCACAGGCAACACCTAATCAGAAAAATAATTTGAGATCTTTTATTTTTCCTTTCAGTGGAAACCCATTGTTTTAATACATTTCTTTCCAGCCCAAACTAGCAGTATGGTGTCAGCGTCAGAGTACATCGAGCTGTCTCTATCAACAAAATGAAACCAGCTGAATTAGAGTCACTCTTAAAATTCAAAGACAAAAGTAAACCAAACTAGATAATTATAGCTTGAGAAAGAAAATTCACTCCCCATATTTAAGTACAGAGAGAATAATTCCAGACAGAAGAACCCAAGCTAGAGCAAGCACAAATGCCTTTCAGCTAGTACAAGCCAAATCTCCTCTCAAATTTGTCACATAAACCTGAAAACTAGGGTCGAAATGGAAGCCTAACAAGTCCATTATCTTCTGATTTCCAAGGGAATGCGAAGACTTTCAGAAGTCAAGCTTTGCAGTCTTCTACACAGGCAATTGCTCTCAGAAATATGCAACACACTGACCTTGACCTGCAGGATGAACTCTACAAAGTGGATGCCATCTGTGGCTGCAAAGAGGACATCATCAGTGACAGTCTCAGAGCCATCATGCCGATACCTGTGGAAAAAAAAAGAGCTACACAGATTTCACACAGAAAAAGAAGCTGTGCTTTCTGGTCATGCCAGACAATGTGGATCCCCTCCAACATAAAAAGCCGATCCCTGTGCAAGGGTGTCCATCTAAGACTGCTGATTCCGGATCAGAGTGTCATCAGAGGGCTTGTGGGGTCTCCCACAAGAAGAAAACCCCCAAGATAAACCAGACATCAGCTGGGAAAATTGTTTCGCTGAGGCCTTGTCATCTATGTTCTGGCTGCTTGTGAGGTGTCTACCAACCACACATGTCCTTGCTGCAGTAGGTGCCCTCTTTGACTAACAGATGGAAACAGAGTCAGGGAACTCTAATTCTGCGTGCATGTAGAAAGTCGAGTCTTGTTCTTGCCACAAATAAAGTAGCAAAATTTTCATCTCTAGGTTAATCAGTGTTAATACAAGTTTTCTTGTAAACTAACCAAGTTTAATAAACACACAACTTCCTTAAAAGAAAAAAGCTGGCAACATTGCCTTCTTCACAGGAACTGCATGGCTGAATACAGAATTTACCTCCTCATCTGCACGGGGCAGTGCTTTATAGAGAAACCTATCTACATCAAACATGGTCGCTAGCTCCCGCTTCCTGGCCACACAACAGCTCAGTTTCCACAGTGACCATTGCAGTCCCGACTCTCAGCCAGCAATCTTGGCCTGGAGCAGCTCTGCCAGAGCCGTGCTATGGTGAGTATGGCTAGCTGTAGCCTCTGCACCTCGCACCACTTCACTGCAGGGCATTCACTCCGGCTGAGAGACTCAGCCACTGCAAGAGGAAAAGACATCCACTCTTCTAACCTGACTGCCAGGGTACGCAGGTCCCCACAGGAAAGCCTGTCACCTTCATTCATGGGAATGCCATCCAGCTCCACCACTCCGTGCTGAGGCTGTCTCTGCAGGAGGAGGAGGAGACGCTCCTGTTTCGTGTCCATGTCAGAGATGAGAATGTGTCCCTCTGTGACAGGGCTCAGGCCACCCTCTTCCACTCTCAAATGGCTTGTTAAAACCTGCATGGAAGAGAAATGCTGAACCCTCTTTTCTACTGCACCTCCAAACATACACCAAACAGGGCAGTTTCAATTTGCTCTGGTATGAGGACGTGTGACACCTTAAAAACCGAAATGCCAAAGGCTGTACTCTTTTCTGCTGCGTCAGGAAAACCTAAGGAATTTACTAATAGTAGGCCCTAATACGTGCAGCCCAGTCCTGATCCCATTCACGGAGGCTCCTGGCCTTCATAGGCAATAGGCAACACAAAGAGGAGGGATGCGGTTTTGCTAACCAGAATGTGACATACGTATTTTTGTACAGCCACTCAGACTCTGAAGGTAGCCCTCAGCTTATTTCGCACAAAAACTCACCCTGCACACTCACCAGACTTTGCCTTCCACTTCAGTCCCAATGCAGGCTACGTGCAAGACACTGAAACCCTGATCCCATGGAAGACATTTTTTTATTTCAGTCAGATCAGGACATCTCTCTGCATTTCTGTTTCTACCCAAAGCCATTTCCAAGTCCTTCCCTCTCACCTTCATCACCACCCTACCTCTGGGGCTTGATTGTCCACAGGAAGAATTGTAATATTGAAGCAGATCCCATACAAAGTGCCACCATGCTGATTGCTGACGGAAAAAATAAACTGGACTTGCTGAGGTTCAGGCCCGATGTCCTGCAGTGGTGGCATGTAGGCAACTTTCATATAGTTCACAGCATGCTGCAAAAAGAGAAGAGGGGTGCATGTAAGAAGAGATAATGGGAGTAGCCATAATTCAGGACATTAGGGAGCTTTCTCATTGCCTGATTAGATGTTTTCCGAACTGTCAAAATTAATTCCAGAAACTTTGCACGTACTCTTTAGCTACTGGCAATACCTTGATTAAATGCATCTTTAGCTACAAATCAGGTGAGTACAGGTTCAAATTTCCAAACCTGCAGCAAAAAATACAGACACGGTTTATAAGTGGTAACAGAGGCAATGGCTTTACCTTCTTGATGGAGCCCTTTAAGAATGCTGGTCCCAGGGCCTTTTCTAACTGTGACTTTAAAATAAACAATTCATCAAAGCATAGCTTTTAATGTAACATCTCCCATGGCAGCTGAATTTGCCCTCACCAGTATGAATGAACTGCACACCCTGCCTCCCCAGGTGAGGGCAGGCCGGTGAGAGAGGCTAAAATAATCACCAAAATCTTGCATCCAGATCATATTAGGCATGTGATTAAGGATTTGGAGGCTCAGAGCTCTCTTTGTGGTACTGCAATGATCACCATTATGCAACCTTAACCATACAGCAGGATATAAAACAGGGCACTTTACTGATATTCGTAAGACATCTGTCAAACTACAGAAGCGTGAAAACTGAACAACAAAATCCTGAAAAAGGCCTGTTCCAGCCTGTACCATATCTATTGGTGGAGACACTGAGAAGAAGCAGGAAACTGTCGAGGCCTCATTTCCGCATTTTGTGTATTTTTTCCTTCCTCTTAACGTCATGCTGGAGCCAAATTCAGCCTGCCCTGAGCAACTGCAGCCCCTGCTGGTTTCAAAAGGCAAGTTGTGTTTACATGTTGCAGAACTGAAGTATGATGGAAATTTGTTTAAAAGCTGGAATTGAATTAGCAAAGTTTTGAGCTTCTTAAGCAGAGCTCATGATAGTACTGCTCCTCATTTTTCACGTCTTGTTTTCTTGTTTTTCCTTCCAAAAGAAGCTTGTAACTTTTTAAAATTGTTTAGAACTGGTTATGGTATAAGATAACATAACAAACCTGAGTAAATGACTGCAGTGCAAGAGCAGCAGGATCCTTGACCAGCTTGGGGATGGTGTCCACCATAAATAGCTTCCCAGCGTCTGAGTGGCTGTACAAAAATACGTATGTCACATCCTGGTTAGCAATACTGAAGAACAGCAAAAACAAAAGTCACATAGCTCAATCTTGCATTTCAAATTAACTTCCCACTCCCAACTGCATTGAAAGGAAAGCCATTTTTCTTTCTTCTATCCTCGTTATTCATTTAAACATTATCACAGAAAACTGACCACAAGAAATATTTTTCAGGATGGTCTCGAAAAATCATTGCATACTTTATAAGCAAGCTCTGGGTTTGCTGCAAGTGTGTCTCTGCACACCCCAGGTATCATTTACACCACCTGCAAGTCTAGTCCATCACATTCTTATTACTTACACACCTGCATTTATCTTTACATAGAAAAATAAATTATTTCTGGTTTTCATGCATCTTATAAACTCCTGAAATGAACCAGTTTCCAGCAAGCCAGCTTTCCAACAGCAGTAACCAGCAAACTGGATAACCATGTGGCTATTTGACTGAAGAGGGGAACAGCCTAAACAACCTTCTTCCCCAGCTGTGTACTGATCCTCTGTTGCTTGAGGTCAAAATTGAAAGTGTTGATCTTCAACTTAAACCGTACAATGGCTGGATTTTAAACTTTTCTATTTAGCAAACTGTTGCCCATGGTGTCACGAATTTACCAAATGGTAAAACAGCATCAGTGTCATGTAAACTGCTAGTACACCCATTCATCCCATACCCCTATTGCCCCTATAACCTGTTCTACCTGCATTCTGCTCCACAGGTTCCTGGTCCAGGACTGGGAGTCCTTCACAGTGCCATGGCAATAATACATATCCCAGAAAAAGCTGTAGCCCCTCATCTTCTCAGTCTGGGGCAGTCCCAGGTCAGCCCCACTCTAACAGTTAGGAGAGGGGCTGTGACTTGTGCTCAAGACTGTACAGGATCCCACAGGCTAGTGTAAAATGCAAGTCCAACAAAAGGAGAGAAAAAATTTTAGGTGCTTTCCTCCTTCTTATTTCTTGCTAAACTATGCTTTTTTTTTATTACTCTCTCTATTAGTCTGTTGCTTTCAGCTCTAGCTCACCCTTAATCATCAACAGGAGAACTGCACCCAGCTATTGTCACCTGCACTTTAAGCAAACAGATGAAGAACCTGAGACACAAGCACACTGCTGCCACTGAGGCTGCAGGTCATTGCCCTGTCCCACCTGAAAGGTATGGCAGGTCACACCTACCCGTGCGTGCAAGAGAAAAATGGGGAAGTGGTTATGGTGTATGTTAGTTCCCTGTCTTGCTCTTCCACATCTATGAAGTGGAGATGTTTCTTAGTCAGGTGAGCAATCTCAGTCTCCTTAACAGCCAGGTGACGGGTCGCTCCCGGGGCTTCTCTGGGTAGCTGATCGTCCACAGGGATAATGTGCACCATCATCACCTGAAATCAGGAAGACAGTAAAATCAGCAGCCATTCCTCTCAATAAGAGTGTCCAAGCAGCTGTTTACAAACATGCACATACAGAAGTAAGTGGATCACTGGAATATGAGATATAGGATGTGGCTGTCATGCCATATCATGAACACACGAGTAATGGAGTTACACAACAGTTAAATGCAAAGCCTATGAATCTTAGTGGTTTCCCTTTAAACTTATAGCAAAGTTAAATTCAGTATGTTGGACTCCTGGGTGAAATAAACAGTATCTTCTCAGTTGACTTCAGAAGGGCTGTTTAGTTTGTTTGTACTGTCTCCAAATCTAATTTGTTTTCAACATTTCATTTTACAGTGTAGGAAAAAGTCTTTGCAATGGACTTGTCTCTCTGCAACCAGGCAGAGAGAATTAGCCTATGGAAAGCAAGAACAAGAGCTAGCTCTGAAGAACATTGTTTGGGCTGATGAGCGTGGTGACGGCAAACAGAAAAGATGTATACCAGTTTGATTTGAAAGTCTGTCAGAAGGTGTAAAATCATCAGCCACTTGAAGGAAAAATGCAGGACTCTGCCAAAGATGCTTCATTTTCATACCTGTGTCTCTGAGAGATTGGGAGGGTCATGGCTATCACACAGCACAAACTCAAGGGAATCTTCAAATACTTCTCCTCCCAAATGATGATAATAAATTATTCCATTAAATAGATCCCTCTGAAGAAAACTGCTGACAGAATACCCTGTTGAATTGAAGAATATATCTTCTATTGAACAGTGCATGATTTAAATAATTCATAAAAGTTATCCATTAGCTGTGCAAGTAACTGGTGAAGCATAATGTCCTCTTTCTCACCCTAACTAGGGCAAGCCCTTTGAAACGTTATCTCACTGTCTTCCACGTTTCCTGAAGATCATCCACTTCTTTTCTATGTCACTTAAAGATTACTCAAAAAAATGAAGCAACACAGCAAATGGGCCTAAAGCCCTGTTCAGACAACAAAAGAGAATTTACAGGACTAGCAGCCTCTTCGGTCTAGCACAGGAATTTCTACATTCAGTTAAATGGAAGGAGAGCTTTCTTGCTCTTTTAGCATCATTAGCATCATCTAATAGCTTTGAAATTGTCAGGGATCCTTGCAGATAAAATAACTCCTGACTAGCCCAACTTTTCTGGAGGAGAAAAGTACAGTAAGGAAATAGACTCAGAATGGAAGAATTACGGGATAAATTGTGTTCACAGGTATAGTTATCCTGGTGCAGAGACCACCACTAATTAATGATGGGGATTTACATTATAATGAAAGAAGTCCAGATTTGCCATGATTTGTCCTGAGCCAAAGTAAATTGTCTTATTGTAACATTTAATGTAGTTGAAAAATCAGGGGACAAATAAAAGCATGCTATTGTGGATGTGTTTCATTACCTATAAAGTTTTGTCCTGGTTTCTTCATGATTTCTCCAGCCTGTGGTGCCTTGGTAATATTGAATAGTATGTAATCATCACTGGAATCCATGTCAGAAGCATGAAGCATGGAGCCTTGAATCAGGATCGTCTGTCCCTCATGAACTTCAATGACCACATTGCTGATAAGAAATGGAGGGCTGTCATCTTTAGGGAGGATATTGATTGGAAACTTATGGCGAATACTGTGGGGGCCATCAAAAATCCTAAATACCACAAAGTCCTTAGTAGAATCACTGTCATCATGATGGTAGTGAACAACTCCAGCCTGAATGTCAGAGACTGTGAACATGAATCCTTTCCCTCCTGTCAAAACAGTGGAAGAATACACATCAAAGACATGCAGTTCAGCCTGGAGGAGAATCCTTCCACCAATAAGAATGTTATTAACGGGGAGAGAAGGAGAATGCGTTTCTAACCAGAAAAATCAAACATAACTTTACCTACTGGAAACAAGTTTGTAAAAGTTGGAATAGTTAATAAAAATGCAGAATTTGCATCTGTGGTAGCAGAGAAAATCCTCCAAATGTCCATTGCACTAAAAGACAACTGGAGATATCAAGGACTTTTAACTGCGACTGCTTCCACTTTAATTTCAACTTCTGCTTTCTTACCAGAACATTTTACAGGTATTTTAAGCATCAAAGAGAATATGCTTTATAATTACAGCTCAGCATTTCATTGCAAGTAAAAAATAACAAGTGGGTCTTGTTTTTTCTGCATATTGAGGTTACTGTCTATAATAAGACATTTTTACAACTCTGCTTCACTAGACATGTTATGCACGCACACAAATATTCAGGCAGGTTAAAGGTTTCAACAACTGCAAGCTGGTGCTGGAAGAGATGATATCCCCAGGGCCTCCAAGGAAAATATTTTTGTGCCCTCCATGCTGTGTAACATCAGCAGAGACACACACCCAATCCCTTCGCTCCTTACTTGAAGAGAATTATGGACAAACTTTAGGATGGAGAAATAACTGCCTCACCACCAAACAAAAACCTGTTAAAGGTGACAGAAGGCAGGAAACAACACCATACCTACCTCCTTCTTTCAGGGCTTTCCTTTAGCTCTAGGACTGGCATTACCAAACCCAACAAAAAAGCATTCAAAACATTGGGTGGATTCACTGTTCCCTGCAGTTAATTGGAATCCCTCCACTGATTCAGTAGGCAGTGGCTCAGACCATTTGCCAGCAGCATTAGAGCATCTGGAGGGCTAAACCCGAGCTTTCCTTTAAAGTTGGAACATCAGGTGGTGCTTGCTAAACAAAAAAGACAATTGCCAAAAATTGTGGTGATGGTTTCCTTTGCACGTGCTTATGCAGACACATAAAAGGGAATAAGGCACGGCCACTGGAGAAGAAATATCCACCCCTGGCTGGCCTACGAGAGGCTGAGAGACCCCAGGGGGCTGCATGCAAGGATGGGACTGCCACCACGAGATGTGACCTGGGCTCTGTATGCACCTGCAGGCACAGCTGGTCCGCTGCTCCACGGCCTGCAGCCCACTCCCTGTCTGGCTGCACAGCCCTCCGTAACACCATTTCTGGGGCTGAGCCTATCTAACACTGCTGACGCCACAGAGTTTGTTTGTAGTATTACAGGAGGATGATCTTGGTGAAGTCCTTGGCAGTAGTTTCCTGAGATGAAACAGACTTCTGAATAGTTTCTGTTTTCACTAAATTCCAAATACCACTTTCCCTTTTTCTTTAAATACTTGCGTTATGTCTCTAGGTGATGCATTTTGCATAAATATATTTAACTATCAAAAAATCCAGCACTGATAGTGGCAGCATCTTTCCACCATGCCAACAGCAGAGTGACTTTTTTTACCTAACCATTTTCCCAAAGAGAGCAGCACTGTGCTGACTCATGAGATTCCAAAGCAAAATTAGTAATATTGACAATGCAGAAGGCTAACAAATTAGAAGTCTAATTTAATTGCCACTTTTTGAAATAAACCTTAAAGCTGCCAGCAAATAACAACCATATCCAAATGTTGTCTGTATTTTCCAACAAATCAAAATCACTCGGCATTCCTTAGCATCTTCAAGCAAAAATGTAAGTAGTGAAATATAGTGACTGCATTTTGCCTAGGTCATGCCAGCTCAATGAAAGCATAGCTGATTTCTTTAAAATTTCAGCTTTGGGATGTAAATGTATGTTAAGAAAGTAAAAGTTGCAATACCAAATTTTTCAATACTCTTGTTTTAATCCCCATGTCTAACGTGGATGTCGCAGGGGAAGCCAGGGCAGGAGGGCAGAGCCAGGCTGGGTCACGGCTTCTGCCCATTAGTGTGCAGCCATGCCCGCTTCCCTCGGTGTGAGTCTTGCTCTTCGCACTGGAGGGGAAACCTGCAGAAGATGCATTCTCATGCCCTGGGTTTTCTTGTTTCCTTTGAGTGACACAGAGCAATATACGGGTATTCTGGCGTTTCTCTTTTTTTTGCAGTGGCATCGCAGCACTGTCTTTCGGGGAGTTACCCATCCTCATTTAGCCTTGGTGAGACAGGGCAGCATCAGGTCTGCTGCACGCCGTTGCTAGCTGCATTAGCTCACTTGGGCTGAATTCACCTCCAGTGGAGAAACTAAGAACCAATTTCATTTTCAAATGAAAGTGGTGTGTAGGCAAAATGCCAGACTTACAAGTCTCTCCCCTTTAAGGATATGGACAGCATAAACACACTATTTGCAAAAGTGTCTAAGCTATGCAACTGACTTTCTTTATGAGCTTGTAGATTTTTTGATTGCTTACTATGCATCCAGGTATTTTCTTTCACACCTTCATTCCCTTGTAAGCCTGTCTCTTATGCTGGCAGCCCTCAGCAGGGACCGACATACGACAGACTCTATAAACACCTTATTGACTGTCACATTATTGTAGCCAGTTGTCACTAGAGACCATAGTTCTAGGCCCTCAAGTTGAAACGATTTACCTCTCACTGTGAGCCGCCCATGCTGTAAGCCGTCAACGGTGACCAAGCGAACATTTTGGATGTCATCGTTGTCTACAATTTGGAAGTGTTGCCATGTGATCGGTCGGGATTGCCCTTCCAGGAGGTTGAGGCCTGCAAAGAGCAGAGCATTATTTCACCAAAGCGTCGGCAACATTCAAGGCTGTCAGCATCTAATCTTTATGAAGGTTTTTGCAGTCAGGGAAAAAAGCATGTTTAATTCCATCTACATACGTACCTGTGACAGACATTTCAAGGCCAGCTTAAACGCTCGAGATCAACTTTTATTCTGACATTGCCTTAGTCAACTGTCTTTAAGGAATTTTTTCAGAGAAATAACATATTCTGGTTCAAAATGATAGACTAGCTAGGCACATTTCTGGACATTTGCACAAACTGGAGCATTGCACTTGCAATCTCACAATGTCTGAAACTGGGCACTCAGCTTCCTTAGAGAGTCTGCATTTAAAAATATATATTGATCTTCATGACAGAGGGCAGTATCTCCTCTTTTTACTCAGACAGCCGTTTCAGGTGGGGTTTCTCTGGGAGACATGAGGCCTCCGCTCAGATCCTTCCCTTTTCTACTGCTCTTTCTCTGGTGTTAACTTCAAGACTTGTTTGATCTTATACCTTTGCCTTTTGATGATTAAATATCAATGTACATTTCACTTTAGATGGGAGAGCCTGTCCCCTCTCCAGTGCAGGCATTATAAATCTGTTTGAATTAGCCTTAACCCTGTAAGGTTTCCAGGCTTCAAATGGCTGGCGGTGTATCAGGACCTCTTTTTCTAGTTGTTCCGTTTTTGCAGACTTCCACTTTAAACGATACCAACAAGCCTTGGTCTTTCCCACAGACTAGCCTACTACTATTCCATCACATATTTGTCTTTATTATTTATACTATTTTATGTCCAGTTCGTTCTTGAAGAAAATGCTATATACAGAAATCCTGATTTTCCTGTAACTCCCTTTTTTCTTTTTCGTTCCAGTTAAAACTTAAGATTTTTTTCAAGTAGTTGTAACATGTTCCCCCCAAAATGGATAAAGGGAAAAACAGATTTACACTCCCTCAGTTTAATGATCCTTAAACTCTAGGTGTAAATCTGAATTTTAGAGCTTTGTCAAATATCTGTGTCGAAGTGTTATAAATTCTGTAGCAAAATAAACTGAGGAAAAGAGATCTCACCTGTATTCCATGAAACCCGAGGAGCATTTGTATCTGTTGTTCTGATAGAAAGATGCACAGTGATCGGTGAACTCCTTTCAAAGTAGAAGTCATGAACCTCAAACTCCACCTGTTGTGAAAACAAACTATTTATTGAAAAAAACCAGCCTGAAAACCAGCTGTACCTCAAAACACATATAGTGTGTTCTTACCTGAGAGAGCTTAAAGTCTCCTAATAATATGTTGACAAATGAAACTTGATTTAGCCTCTAAAAAGAGCTTTTGAGGTTCTGCACTAAATTAAGTATCTGCCTTTTGTGCTCTTCGCAGTGAATGCTGGGAAAGCTAGTTGGGAATGTGTGGAAATCAATGGGAAAGATAAGTATTTTCACTGTTGTTTGGGGTACAATCAACACAGCGATCAACATAGGGCTTTTTTAATAGTAGTAATAATAAGAGGGGGAAGGGGCACTTCCCACTCTTTTAACATATGTAAGACCAAAAAAGTTATGAAAGAAAAGATATGGACTGGCACAGAAAAAATAGTAAAAAAAAAAGAAAATGTCAAACTCCTGAATTGTGAAACTCTTGAATTGTCAAATTCTTGAACCTGTGATCAAACAATGCTGAAAACAGAACAAAGATGCACTTAAGGAGCAGACGGTTTGGTAGGATGACTGATCCTCATACTGAGGAAACAGAAAGAAAGAGGGTTCCTGTGACAGCCAAGGTTAAAAAAAGACAAGAAAGAGGGTTCCTGTGACAGCCAAGGTTAAAAAAAGACAATCCTTGTCAGCATCAGGTGCCAAAGTTCCTGTTACTGTTCCTCTGCTTTCCAGGCCACCCTTTCTCCAGCTTACCTTTTTCTGATTTTCCGTCCCTTCAGTTTCATTACTTTAGTACCAACCATTTTGTTTTGTTTGGGTTATTGCTTAACTATCTTATCAGATAGTTATTTTATAACTATCAGCATATTTATATACTCCTTTACCTCATCTCTCTTCCTCTTATATCTCCTTTTTAAGACTACTGCTTATTTCTCACAGTGCTGGCACACTGCTGAATTACACAAAATATCTAGCAGTACTGGTAACTGAAAAAATAAAGTAACACTGTACCCAAAGTAGGAGGCATTCACTGACAGCACTCTGTGGCAGATCTGGAGGGAAAAACATCGCTAGCAGCCGACATGGAAAAGGTGGAAGTGGTGCTCTGTTAGCTCCCATAAAACATAAATGTATTCCTGCAGCCTTGGTCTCATAGATCAGCACCGCTTATTTACTCGCTGACTCCAGACCCTGCAGATACCAGCCTGCTTTCATCATTTGCATCATGTTCTCTGTGTTAGTGACGTGCTTTTAATCCTCCCAGCAGGAACTGTTGAGTCCCTTTTTGTTATCCCTATACCACTATTGACGCATTAGGTAGGGTGCGAGATCAAATGGCAATCCTGACATTTAGCTGGTCCATCTTTCATGGCTTTAAATATGTCACCTGTCCACAGGTCACAGGGATCAGTACTGTCACATTGAGATAAAAGCTATGTGGAAAAGGCACCACTGATCCTTCCAAAGGCCTTTGGTTAGATCTACAAGTAGTGTTATTCCCCTATTCCTGTCATAAAAAAATAAAAAATAAATTTAAAAAAAAAAAAAAGAAGAACCAAAACAATCCTGTTTAGATATTCGTAGTCAGAGGGGATAAAAATCTTTCAGTGCAAAGAAATTTTTAAGTAGTGAGCAACAAATATCTGATTTGTTTTAAACAATTAAGCTGATGAGTCATAGGAGAAAGTGGCAAAAGATTTTACCTCTGCTCCTGCATTGCATATGGTTAGAGAAACACCTTTTTTTTTTCTGAAAAATATCCATTACAAATGAATGCATTTATTTACAGCTTAGTGAATCTTAAGGAGATGAAAACCAGCAAATGCTCATACATTACACTTACCTCATAATTCCTCCTCTCTGTGTGGCTGTTATTTGGAGGCTGATAAGCAATGAGCATGTCACTGAGATCTTTCCACGTGAAGGAGCCAACAGCTTTTGTATGGTCAGATAGATGAGTGATGAAGCCCTGTGGAGGTGGCTTGGTAATGTTGAATACAAGCAGGGACTTTGGAGTTTCATTGTCTTCAGCATCAAAGGTTGTGGTTGTAATGGGGGTTAAAATAAATTGATCTACTTCCAGGATGAACTTTGCCATCGGGGCAGCTTTGGGTATTTGATTGGGAATAGCACCTTTAATCTGAACAGGGAGCCATGCATACTCAGTCTACAACAGGAAAAAATGAGACAACTGAAAGGTCAAAGTGAAGCAAACAAATTCAATTTCCATTACCTTCACATAGCTAATTGGGGTACGTGTTAAAGCAATAATTATTTTGAAAAGAAAAATTGAAACATTTTAATAAGAAAATGCCTGAAGTAAATATTTAGACCTCATGAAAAAGTCTTCCAGGTTCACTAGTCTTATTTGTGTCCTTCATTTTGGGCTGAAACAACTTGCTTAATTTGATGTGAGTTTGATGAATAACTTTACCTGACAGAAACATGCATGAGTCATTAATTATTATTAACTGAATATGTTCACACAGCTCTTAATTTGTTAATTACTATATATGTCGAAGTCAGTGCAGTTCATGCTCTATAAAAAAGGTGGAATTATGCCAGAATTAATTTTGTTCTCAGGCTAAACTTCTTATGCCTGCCAGTAAACAACCACAGGTGTTTCTCTGTAGCCATAATGGTCTAAGCATAGAGGCATGGAGATAATGCATTTCATTTGCCCAGCTGGCAACATTGTAAGAACTGAACAAACTTTCAGGATTGCTGTCTCTCTTCAAATGTGAAAAGGAGCAATGAATTTAAATTTTTTGAAAACCAGGAAGACAATCAGACATTGTAAGGTTGCGTAAAAGTCTACCTTGTGCAGAGTTTTGCTTCTGCTGTCTGTGAGATCCAACCTCACAGGAATATAGTCGGTGTCAGGCGAGGGAGGGTCAAGGTGCTGATATCGAATCCCCATCCTCAGAAATTCTTCACAGCTCATTTTTGTGTTGTGAACGACTCCCAGTTCCAGCATGCAGCTCCCGTTTCTGCACTGCTGGCCCAGGCTGTGCTCTGTAACCCAACAGAAGCAATAGTGAAACAGTTAACAGAGCAGAAACCGCCATCGGAAGCCCGTCCATATAGCTAAACTAACCCTGATAAAAAGCCAGTGTGATGAGAACTGGGACTCCTTTCCTGACTTAACTTTTCCTACAGGTTTTTGTTTTCATCTGACATCTTCCAACTCCAACCTCCCTTGGTCTCTTGGGTAGGTGCTGCCTCCAACAACTCCCTGTGCTGTTTCTACCGAGTCTTGGCACTCCCGAAGCTGTCACATTGGTCCGCATGTCTCGGAGCCAAAAACAGACTCCAATCAGGGGGGATTACTGACCCAGATCTGTGATCTATGTTGTGCCCCACACAAACTTCATGTCCCTTTCAGTTTCCATGATAGCTCAAGCTGTTCATTAAACTTCACATGACCCACTCTTACCCAGCACGTCTGAAGCAACCCACTGCTGCAGACTTAATCTGCTGGGTCTCTTTGAACTGGCTAATACAAACAACTAAAGCACATCATACTAGGGCCTGGGAAGAAGCTTTGTGGCTGATCTCCACGAAGCTGCTCTTGCTGCACTTCCCCGGTGATGAGCTGGCCATGAGCAGGCAGGTGGGTTTCTGAAGAGGCTATGGAAATGGTGCAATCCAGATTTATCTTCCTGTCATAGTCAAAAGCGAGGATGTTCTTGTCAATCACCCTGGATAGACCATAGTACTCAGGCACCTCCAGGGCACGGGAGCGCATTTTGATGATGTTACAGTCTGGCTCAAGTAACTGCACATGGAGGGTGAATGTTTCTACAAACGTTTCAGTTTCTGTAAACCTGCAGGTGGTAGAAGGAAATTAATTAATTATGCATCTTCACATCTTCTGGCACTCTGTGAGTTTGGCATTGGCCTCAGCTTCTAAATTTAATTACTTGGACCCCTTTCTCTCACGTGCCCTCCAACCCCAGATCACCAGAGACCATGAGGTGCCAGACACTGCTGCCCACCTCCTCATACTTGTAAAAAGGGTGTTTGTGTGAAGGAAGAGCTTACTCGCTGTGTTTATACAAGACTCTGTGTCCCTATCAGCAGGACAACACAGAACATACAGTAGTCTGAAAGTACTGTTGTCACTTTCAACAATAAAAAGAAAAATCACTGGTTTTCTGTCATAAACAAGCAATACATAATATTTATTAATACTAACAAACACATTATTTGAGCATATCTGAAATACATTTTGGCAAATGTTTCTGTAAGCAAATGGTCACTTGTTGACTAATGATGCTGCTACTGGGTCTAAGTAGTTACGGTATGTGCAGCTTTTACCATGAAAAATGAACTGCTTGCTCTTCCTGAGGGCAGCTGTTCTCCTGGTAACAATAAAGTGTGATCTCGCACCGCTGCCTACCTGTACAGCCTAAGCATGACCGTGTCTTCATCTAAGATTGGACAGCCATTGTGGGTATATTTGACTTCATTAGGAAGGAAGTGACAGTCAAAAACCTATGAAGGAGAAAGAATAGACAAGTACAACACCGTCAAGGATGTTAACTTCGCAGCTTCTGTTCCACTTCTCTCTGACTGTCAGGAATGCATCAGACTAAGGAGATTTTTATTCTGTAGTTTATTTCTATGAATAGGTATTCACCTGTTCTGTGGTCTACCAGTGAGAGCCAGAGCAACCACTTTAATGTCAGGTTGCTGGCACTCTACAAGGGAATGGGCATGTAAAAGTGGTTGTTTCAGGCTGCCAAGTCCCTCTTCCAGCGCAACAAATAGTTTGAGTGCACGCTCTCTACCACTGCAGCCTGTGGACTTATGGATGCATTTGTATTCAGCAGAACTGCAGTGGAACTGAAAAGCCTGCAGTATAATATTAGATTTATTAGCTTTTAAAGTTGCTCGTGGTGATAGCTTGATTATACAGTAAATCCTGCTTTATGGCGACTACCATTGGACTACAAAAGTATGATCCTGTGAAATTTCTCTGTTGGAAACTTTGCTAGCTCAGATTTGTTATGTGTTTTTGGAACACTGACTTTGTACCAGTAACCTTTTACCAGATCAGATGTCATCTCTGTGGCATACAACACCCAGCCCCAATGTCAGTGTATTCCCACAGCATAAAAGCAAACAGAATTTCTATATTGTGTCCACCAGCTCATTCAAAAGAGACTAATTCTTATGACACACCTGATACAGGTCAAATTTGCAAAGATGGCTGGCCACAGTTTAACCATCTAAGACAGACACTTGTTCCAGGCTGACTGTTTAATGGTTTGTTAACTTGCAAAAGTAAGGCCATGAGGAAAATTCCTGACCCAAATGGAAAAAAGATTGCTTTGGAGAGTTGCGACACATCCGTTCTTTGGAGCAGGGATTCAGATTCTGCAGCATAGGATTTTCATGTCCTCACATATGCCAATTTGCAAGTCTGGTAAGTTACAATTCCCATGTAGCTATATTTCTTTATAGAGTTTAACAGCTGAAAGTTCCTAGCATTGATAAGACCACGTCTATGTTCTCCTTGTGATAACAGGGAACCCCTACGTAGCCTATGTGTAAATGGAGGATACTCATGTTTCATATCTACGGGGAGACAGGGCATATTCTTGTCAGCATGAAGGCAAAAGCTAAGCATTTCATTTCCTGAGTGTCTCACTGTGAAACTAAACGCGGTTTTGATTCAGTTTTTATGGGTAGAATTCACACATGATTAGTTCTTCTACGGACTAAAGTAAAATCTGTTCAGCATTCACTAACAGACCTGATGAGGCCATAACTAATAAGGATTAATATACATATGTGGCTGACTGACAAACCACATCTTTTTGCAGAAAGAAGAGGTCATTTCTTATGACCAGTCATTTCTTAAAATACAGCAAAAAAATAATGAAAATGAAGTGTCTTGCCTGAATTACCTACATCTTCCCAACCACTTTGGAAGATGGTGAAATGGAAGGGGGATTTTAGTGAGGTTCTGAAATGTTGACTGGAAGTGCAGCGCATAGGGAAAGTCTTTGGATGCTCTGACTTTCAGTGTAAAAATAAAGTAATACTTTAATTCCTAAATTAGTTGTTAAAGCGTAGGTAACTGAAGTGCATCATGACCACTGCATGGATTTACAGTAAAGGATATAAGAACTAGTGACCTTAGTTTCTTTCTAACCATTACACAGAATTAGAACTTTCATCTCTCTATAATGAAAAAATAATTAGAGTTTATCAGCTTTCATTATTACTGGCAGTGTCCACTTCTGCTGAAGTTATTCTCAGATGCTCAAGCTATGTGTTAATTGTTCTGTATTCCTAGTGATTTTAAAAATATATTGCCTGCTTATAACTTTCATCAAGAAGCACATATTGTACATTTTTTTTTAAAATGTAGTGAGTTAATTGATTATCAGATACATATACATGGACTTACCACTCTTCCTATTGACTAAAATAATCTTGGAATAATCTGTAATATATGGTGTTATGGAAAGTACGATTTATTTTATTTGTTGGGACTGCTTAGAAAGGAAGGACAAGAACAGTTTCTGAAAAATAAAATTGCTTTTGTATGATGAAGGTTTTGACTATGTTGTGGCTGTTCTATTGTGTATTGTTTTCAAATGTCACAGAAATATGTGTTTTGGTTTTTTTCAATATTTAAAAACACCAATGTCTTTTTCTTATTTAATGTCTTTCTTTCTTAGTACAAGCTAACATAAAGGAAGGTGATTAATTAATTAGATAGTCCTAAGTGATATCCTACAAAAAAAAAAAAAAAAAAGGTTGTTAGGTGGTGTGTTACTTTACAGTAAAAAAAAAAGTACATTATATACAAAAGCCACTCATATTACAGCTTCCAGTAGTTTAATGTTGTACACTGAAGATGAGATTATTTACTGATGTAAATCAGTGTAGAGCCCTCAAAGTCACTAGGGTTTTTGGTGACATGTAGGTCTGGTGTGCACCTGACAATGAGATACTGCTCAGATGATGCATCCCTGTTCATATCAGAGGGGGCTGCCTACAGCAGAGGAGATGGTTTATAATATCAAAGAATTAATTCCTTTCATTCTAAGACATCATTAGTTCCATCTCTTAATTGATAACAAGGGGATGGAAAATGAAGGACCTTTTCACAAAGGTCTGTTACCACTGACTGACAGTCATTTTATATATGTATAAGACACAATCTGCTTTGCAGAAAGAAACATCTGTTTTATGTTTCCTAATATGTTTTCCTTTTATATGAACAGGCAACTCTAATTGTCTATAAATTCACTGGGTAAGACAAAGGAGATCTAAATCTTTTCCTAATTACTGTCGAGCTTTGTTTTTTTCTACTTCAACTGCTTTTCAATTACAATTTATAATTAAATTGTCATACATTCCTAGGACATTACTCACTTCAATGGCAGCAAAACAGATCAGAACAGAGACATTTTCTGGCTGCAGAATTTCCTGGTAGAAAGAGTGTGAGTAGCTCCGCGGGGGGGCTGGACTCCGGCACCTTTTTTCAGGAATGGTGAAAGCTCAGGCAGTACTTTTCAGTGTCTGGCTCAGGATTTTGTCATTTAAAACAGAAGCCCTCAACTTACAAATGCCCTCTTGTTCTTCCCCAGCAAGGAAACATGACTTGAGATAACCAGACTGCCTATCTCGCTGGCAGTTTCCCTGGGGAACCCCACGTGCTGGTGTCTCTGGCACTCCCACTTCCCCACGGCTGCGGAGAGGAGAAGGCACCTTTCCTAACGGGATGGCACTCAGGCCAGGAGCCATCCAGGGGAGGTATCCCAGGCACCGCCAGCAGCTGCAGCCCCTCCCAACCTGATACCCCAGGGCCACCTGCCCAGCAGAGCTCACCCCTCCAGATGACATGTACCTGCAGCCTCCAAGAGCCACACCTGGGCTCACACCAGGGCCATGAAAGGATGAGCACTTAATGGAGGTGGGATTGGGAGTGGGGAAAGGCAAGGACCCTAGGTATTTTGGAAAATAAGGTATGGTGAGTACACATCTCCTGGGGTCTCTGGACCCTGTGCTTGAAGCATGTCAGGTCACAAAGGACAAAGTGGCTTTTTCAAAATATCTGGGTCCTACTGCATTTAGAGGCTGAGGCAGAAATTGAAAGCCAAGTCACTCAGCCAGCCAGCCAGCTTGCCTACAGAAGAGGTTTGCCAGCAATGAGACATGTAAGTCTCTTTTTTTCTCCTCATGGGCCAAACTAGACTGAGGAAGTGGAGAGGAGGGCCTACGGTCAGAGCCCCTGTGCTGACAGAGAGCAAGCCCTGGGGAAGTCTCAGCAGAGGTACTGCACATCTTGGGGCCAGTCTCTAGAGAAGATCACATATTGCCCTGGTCATCGCCTCCTGTTTTCCCTGGTGTGCCTCTGCTCCTTCTGAGTGCTGGTTCAGCTGAAGTACTTGTCAGTGGTCTGCAAAAATAATGATGATGATGACCAAGCCTGAAGCTTTGAAAAATCTATTGAGATTGGTGCTCCTGCATCCACCTTCACAGAGACCACCAGAAACCTCAGAGAGCATGTTTAAAACAAGATACATATACAAACATATAGGATTGTATGCTGCATGGTACAATTAACAAAACTTTTTGAAAATAGACAAAACCTGTTTGGTTATAGTTCATTTTAAAACCATTCATCTTCTATCTCTACCGTTACATCTTCATGTCAATTACTTCCAACTCCTTCCTGCTATGATTCAGGTGGGGACATTTGTGAGGCAAATGAGTAGCAGAACGGTGATATGTGAAATACATTTCATTAATCCTACAAGCTTGAAATTTTAACAGAAAACATTTTTTTAATGTATTTGCCATCTGCTAGCAATTTAGCTGTTGCAGAGCAGAGCAAACAACGGTGTACACAATGTGCTTATTGTATGTGATGAATTTTTTCTTAATTGCTCCCTAAGTAGTGGCTTCGTGACTAAAATGCAAAATGCTCTAGCAGGCTATGCATTATCCGAGGGGCACTGGTTACCCTCACGGTAGAAAAACAAGCAGCTGAGAGACAGGAGGATATCTCCTAACTGAAAGTTTTGGAATACCCATTCTCCGCTTGTGAAAGGAGACTTTGACCGAACTCCCTTTTACGCACTTGTGTTACTGAGCTCAGCTTTTGGATTTCAGGGGTGCAGTTCTCTGTCAGCTGGCTACTTTTAGCAAAAGGCTGAATCTCACAGGCCATTCAGTTTCATGCCGTTTAGTCACTACCCAAAATAAAAAAAATCAACAAAGCAACTCTTCCTAGTTTCTCCCACACCTGCACACACATGGACACACAGACCAGCACAACGGAGCCCAAATACCTGTGGAGTTAGTTTCCCAACCCTCTGTGTTATTGGCTCATTAATCACAACTTCTACTTTGCAGACATCCTTCTCTCTGGGGATGGAAAATCTGAGGTCATCTTCTGACAGGAAGACAGACTGTCCCTTCATCACTTTCACCCCAAGGTTGACACTAATAAAGGAGGAGCGTACAACTCTTAGTACCACAGGCAGCAGTAGAAACAACCAGCTTTTCTCAAAGGGCTTCATATTATGAGGGGGTGCCAGCTCTTTTCCACCAGTGAAAATGTTCTTAACAAAAGAAGTCTTCTCTTTCTCCGCCAGCAGATTTTCACCGTACAATGAAGGACCAAAATGTTAGTCGCAGGTAAAAATGTACCACATGTTTTCTATTAAGATGTACCCCTTGACTGAAATTTGGACAGGGGCCTTTCAAAATATCCTTGGTGTTTTGTAAAATTCATTGGTCAAGCCTGACAAAAGGATGAATGTGTTCTCAGAGTAATTTTAAGGTTTGTTAACCCTGGAAAAAAAAGAAAGAAAATTGATATAAGGCATTGAGCAACTATTGGGGGAAAAAAAATAACAACACAAAAAACTTCACCATTTCTTACAATTGCAGTTCATTTCAAGCAGCAGCTTGACTTCACCTTCGAATACTATTAAGTGCACACATGCTCAGAAAATTAGCTACGTACCAATGAGACTTCTCCCTCAATGGATCAGCTCTCAATATGAATTCCAGGCACCTTTGATCCATACGCACATACAAACACTTGCTGTGTAGGATCCTTTGTTACTGGCCTTTTTTACTGCTGGACCAAGTAGATATTAATAAAAGGGTATGAGCATCCAAGTAATTTGAAAGTGCAGGAGTAAGCATTCATCCAGATTAAATATACCTGAAAGTGGGATAAAGAGAGAGTGGCCTTTTGTTAAATCTATTTTTGCTTTGCCATTGAATGTGGGGGGGGAAATTCAGGCTTTAGTTGAAAACACCTTGCCAGTGCCTCTCTAATCTTCCTGCTATAGCATCTAACTATGCCAGGACGTCAACATAGAAACATATGATATGGCACGACAAAGCTGAATTTTTTCTTTTTCACAAAAAAAACATTAATCATTCTGAGGCAAATTCAGTGGAAATAAGGAACAAAAGATAATATGGAAGAAAATTTACACAAGATCCTCATGCCCTCAGTTACAGCGAATCTTCATCTTTCATGTTTATAAACTCGTAAGAAAAGCATAGTTCTTCTGACATTGAACAAGCACTATTGAAATCCTCATAAGACCCTAATTTCTAAAACCCTCCAAAGTAACTGAATCTATGGCCCAAAGAGTAGGCAATGGTATTGATTTAATTAAATTTTATAAGATCATAAGAATTTCAAGCTAGTAAAGCACCAATATTCCTTCAGTTTCTTTTAAATTTTTAGTGCCCTGACTACTTATTTGCACAGTCTAATTTAACCACAACCCTCCCACCAACAGTGAGCTTTCCTGAAAGTTAATAAAAAACCAAATCCATGTATCTATTTTCTTCATAATTGTTAACAAATAAGTGTTCACTCTACTGTTTCCAGCAGGATGACCTTCTGAACAGCCTACAATTGTATGCACGTATCCACCCGGTTTTACACTTCACTGAAAAACTATCAGAGTTAAGAATTTCTTTAAAATTATTCACTTCCTAAAGTAACACAAGACAGATCCACTCACTTCAGCTAAGATTCAAGATTGAAGACATTGGTACTAACATATGTTTAAAGTTAGATGTACGTTGACTATGTAGTCTGGGCCGCAAAACTTAACTCTTGTTTTCTAGCTTTTTATCTCAAAATCTTTCCAGTTTGGTCCAAAATTATGCAGCTACATCAGTCTGAACAAAATCTGAGAGAAAATGTAGAATTCTAGCCAGTGGAAAGGGAATGAAATTCATGGTTGAAAGTTTTTTAACGTGTTCCAGAGACAAATCAAAATCTCAATTCATTTAAAAAAGTTTACTTACACAGACAGCTTTTACTAAAATCCAGATATGTAAATGTGCCCAAAGTACTTGCTAATTTTTGTTTCTTTCTAGTGGGATGGATATGCATAGCACTTCATTGAAATAAGCACATCTGAGACAGCACTCCACTTCCTAAAATTCACAGTTTTGAAACACAGTCTGCAATCCTATAAAGGACAACTCGGAAAGAGGGAGAGGAAAACAGATTACGCTTCAGCCTCCAAGTGAGAAAGTATGGTTTGCAGCAAGTGCACCCTTTTAACCTGAATATCTGACTGGCATTTATCACATAGTGCACAGATTGCTAGCATTTATCAAATATAATCTGTGTTTTCTTAAAATACCAGCTGCAAAGCATGGAGAGATGTTCTGAGTGAAAACTTTCTCTATTGCTGTGCCCTCTTCCTACTTCCTGCATCGAACAAAGTGAAGATAGGGCTGAGGGAAGTGAAATAACTTCCTTGGCATATGTCTCAAGAAGATGCTCTGCCTAACACCTCCTCTGACTTCAGGCATGCTGGGATCCTTGGCCAGCAGGAAGTTCTTGGTGCAGGGACTGCAATGGATTTTAAATGCTTTGACTCCAGCCCCTGATGAAGAAGCGATGCATGAGTAAGTCTCAGCTAGTTTTAGAGAAGACCCAGTTTCTCAAGCCATAGAGGGGCTTAGATAAGAAGAAAATAATTAGGAATTTTGGACTCTGACTAGGACCTGGCAAAGTGCTAAGAGGTAGTCAATGGCTCTGAAGCATAGACCTGGTGGTTTACAGCTCATGACAATGCCAGTAACTTCGTGCTCCATAATACCAGGCTGGGGCATTGATTTACAGTGCAAAATGCCTTTATTCACAGGGCACTAGGTACCTTATGAGAAATGATAAAATTAAAGCCTGGACAGTTTTGACTTTCTCCACTCCCACTCCCACTATCCCATCTGGATAGCTACCACAAAAACACTCCATAGTTCAGAGACAGCCTAATCACCAGTTCAGAAATGGCACTGGTCGGGAAGTGTATTGCTCTCTTTACATGTTACATATGTGCTTACAGGAAGGGAAGGACAGCTGTCCAACAGGCACTGACAGAGTTGTTCATGCAGAGACGTCTGCAGCTCAACTCTGATGAAGCTCAGGTCAATCTGTTTCTGGTGCCTGCCCCATAAACCCCAGCACTGGGTGCAGGTATAAACCTCAGGCATAGGCAGTGGTTTCTTTGCTGCCTTTTCTTACCCTGCATCAAACACTAAGAGCAGAAAGGCTCCAAGAGGAGCTCCAGGAGCATCCTGGCCAATTTCGTGGTGGTTGTGTGAGCCATTCTCTGCTACAAAATTGGTCCTATGTTGTCACTGTGTATTACAGTCTTGCTTTGACTGCTTTTGCTTGCAGACACTGCTCCTGTATACCTATACACGTTTGCCCCATATGTTCCAGCAATTGACCCCTGCTTGTCAGCTGCAAGTCTGTCTCCTTATGTGGCCAAGTGAAGATCTTGAGAAGTATAACCTCCCTTTCTCAATCATTTATCCAATGATAGCAAAATGAAATGACAAGAGATCCTTTCAGTACATAATGGCAATAAAATGAGAAGGGTTTGGAGTGAATGCCATCAGATTAGCATTCTCCCCTCTGTGTGAAGAAGGCCATTGCTTCAGCAAAGTCACCTGTGTGCTACACGGTACTCATGCTGAGCCACAGTGACAGCACACTGCTCTCCAGCAGCTCTACAACTGCTGGTGATGCTGCTGCCATATTTTGTGGCTGCTTTGGACTTCCTTACGGTCTCCTTACTTCTCTGCCCTTAATATCACAGCTGAGCCTGATTCATCCCTGCTATTCCTTGGCATGTCACCTGTGTATCCAGAATGAACAGATGACTGAGGCACTATTTAATTCCAAATGCACCGCAATATTTCAGATAAACTTAGAGGTTTGATGAAATAATGTTGTTCATGAACAACACATTAGGAGAATCAGTATTTTTAAACTAAGGTGTTTCCTCATTGACTTGCTAAGGGTCTGTCTATATGGCAAAACACCTGAACTAGCTCCAGGTGCACTGTGTGCCTACAAGCTTACAGGAAGCTACCAGCTTCGGTCCCAGAAGTAAAACAGCCATGTCAGTTCAGTGATATATCATATATTAGTTGTTATCTCTCAGTGGAGATGGAACACATGATTTATGAGGAGAGGCTGAGACAGCTGGGTTTGTTCAGCCTGAAGAAGAGAGGGCTTACTGCTGTTTTTAGACATCTAACAGAAAAGCACAGAGAGACTGGAGGTGTACAGTGAAGGGACAAGATGCAACCCACAAAATTCGCAACAAGGAACATTCACATTAGATATTAGGGGGAAAAAAAGCCACAGTGAGCATGGTCGGTGGAACAGGTTTCCCACAGGGGCTCTGAAGTCTCCATTCTCAGAGATATTTAAAAAACAACTAATCAGGGCCTGAGTAGCCCAATGTAACTTTGAAGCTAGACTTGCCGTAAAAGCTGGCTGTGCTGAGAGCAAGGGGTGGGAGCAGTTACCTGCAGAGGTCTTTTACACCCTAAATCGTGTGATGACTGTAAGCTGAAATGACAGAGCTGTCTGGCTCCCAGGACCCAAGTTAATTACCTGGTGTATTTTTGCAAAACACTGCATTGTACCCCCAAAATTGTCCAGTAATTCCCATGAGATCCAATATAAAACCATACTGGTATGAAAAACGTGGTGACAAAGAAAGAGACCTCCTTTCCCATAATTAGAGGTAGACTGGCCAAGCTGACCCTAAGATTTGGGAGCTTGGAAAAGGAGTCCCAAAGACATGTCCAAGGCATTGTGCAAGGGACACTCAGCAAGGGGAACTCTGAGGAGCTCCTCATCTGCTGGCAGATCGCTGTCCCGCTCTGCAGACGAGCCCAGGGGAGAAGGGGCCTCTGAAGAGGTTGTGGATGTGACTCTGTAGAGTTAACAGAGGGACACACCAGACTGGGGACAATGTAGGGGAGGGTTACTGAGAACTTCAGATGTGGTTTGTTAAAAATTTCCTCCAAATGCCAGAAGAACTAGTTTTCCCTCAGGGCTGCTGGTGTACATGTGAGAAATGATGCAATGGCTAATTACAAACATTAGCATTCTCACCAAATACAACTGGTTTTCAAGATTCTCAAAAAAAAAAAAAAAAAAAGAGGAGGAAAGAAACACTGCAAAAAAAGGAACACAAAGACTGCTGTAGAGTTATCATCGTCACAAAATACC